CAATAACAAGGCGTAGCCTCCGTGTTTTTCTCTCTCTCTCGGGGGGGGGGGGGGGTGAGGGGTGGAGTGGGGGATGAATGAGTGAAAGAGGTTGCTGATGTGCAATGGTGACCTTACACTGTTTATTGTGAAAGCAATCATTTGTCGAACTACTAAACAATCGCTACAAACGCTGATGTTAAACATGGGATCCGCAATGAAATGAAGAGTGTTGTAAACCAGGGAAATAACCTAGCAAAAGGAGTCGAGTGACAAAGTTGGACTTGTGAAATTGTGTCGTAATAAACCTTGCGTTTAGTGATACAATTATAGAATTGCAATTATATTAAAGAGTTGTAATTTAGACAAACTAGGCCGGAAACAAACGTTTAACCCTCTACGTCCTTGCAACAGGAGTCGGGTCGTGCAAACAATGCCACAACAGCATCTGTGTCCCTATGGCTACCCAAGCCAGATGGCTTGAGACAATAAACTCGAATCTCACGCCATGAACTTAACTTTATCTCATGTAAGGAAAAAAATACCGTAGAGTTTTACATTCAATAACTCGGGTCGAAAATGCAACTGACCATCAGGCCACATCAGACCGAATAATATAGTTTACTAAAAGTACAAGAGTTCATTTTTTACTGTTTAAATGGGCAGGTGTATTTTGCATACTTTACTGCGAGACACCGTTTCGAAAGATCCGATATAAACATTACCACGAGGCTTTGACTAAATAAAAACAAACCAGCAGCACATGGCCCATTCGCACCAACACCTTCCCATAAAGTTACTGCCAGGAACACTCAAGCATCATTTTAACTAAACAAGATATAACTTTACTATAAACTCCGAAGCACGAACGAAACTCGTAGCAGTTCCACTCAGCAGCGACAGTAACATTTTATTATATGGTTTGAACACTGGTAATTAGCTTAAAGTAGTGCTAACGAGCAGTGCTAGCTCGTTATCTAACAGGATTGCCTGGGCAATAACGTTCACCACTGAGAGAAGTTCAAAGAACACTGCTAAGCTGGATAAACAAGAAAACACTCCACACGCCATTTAAAGCAAAAACGCTGACACAAACAACTTTTCATTTCCTCTTTTAAACACATTGGTTCGACAAAAAGGCGAATACAAGTTTCATTTACCTCTATTTCAAAGTCTGGAAGGTTGAACGCCGTCCTGAACAACGAGCAGAAGTGGGCTATGGCGGGGACTTCCCACCAGGACTGGATCTCTTCCACAGAAACTATACATCCCTGGGACATGTTTGGACTCGAGAAGTGGTGTTGCGTTAGTTCTCACATTAGAAAGTAGTTCTGAAGCGACATATATCGTCCCCGTAAATTCACAAGCAGAAGTAAACTTGATGCGGCCGTCATGTCCGGTGAGCGAGCACTACAATCTGTTTCAATCAGTCTCACCGAGCTGAGCAGATGGGTAGGGCGATACCAACGTTCAAAAAGTAGGAGGTGAAACTTCAGTTGAGCTATAATTTAGAGAATTTGTGAAAACAGATCGGTCGTTAAATATATGTTAAATGTATATTATCAACACGATTAACCCGAAATATGGAACACATCTATCTACCTTTTCAGATGAGTTTACGCAACAACGAATTGAAGCCCATTATACCCCACTGAGTTCAGCGTTCGATGACCGTTTAAAGGGAATGCCTTGACGTTAGACTTAAAAGTCAGTGATGAAATAACGAGTCATGAATAAATAAATAATATAATAATAATTAAGTCATAATTTGTAAGGCAGTAAACATTTTCCTTTTAAGATTAACATGTTTTGCCTATATATGGCCTATGTTTTAATTTCAACATAGAAAAATAAAACTTCTAAAGCAGTCATGATAGCTACCTTTAATTTAGCTCACGTAAGATCAGACATATTTGTTTAGATAAATACTTTTGGGTACAGTAATTTCCCAGATGATTTAGTAAACAACTTTAAGTTGGTCGTTTTTTTAATATTCTAGACAGTGGCTCCCCCTATCGTAGACTGAGAAAAGCACATATTATCAGACACGCAATAGCTTATTTGACACGAGGCCACAAATAATAATAATAAAAAATAAGAAGACATATTTATAGACATTATTTATAAGGTCAGTCTTAGAACTAATATTTCTGTTTTAATTATCTCACATGTCCAACCATAACGTGTACATTCGAAATAGATTAAATCATACTGTACCAAATACAAACTAAAAGACAGCTTATTTCATTAAAAAATCCGTTATTAATTAACTAGTGCATGATTTCACTTTGTTAAACTGGATTGTGATTTTACTATTCGTTATTAAAGTTAGATTTTAAAAAAGACGTGAGAGTTTCCCGTTTGGCCTGATGGGGGCGCAAGACGCTGGAGATTATTTTTTCAGCAAAATAAACTGCACAGTGCTTTCTTGTTTATATTGAATAGTTTTAGTAATTCAATAAATAAGTTTAATACAACAGCTTCCTTAAGTAAAAGACGATATAATTCGAAAGATGCACCTTATTACTACTACTGGTTTTGCACTTAAAAACGATAAGAAACTTTTTTAATTATGTATTTCCTGATTTAGGTATCTATTATTCTCAATTTTATATTGTCCTATTTTTAATATTCATTAACATTACTTCCATTATTTCCCCTGAGAGTTGCTGTTTTCTGCAAAAATGTTCTGACAGTGACTTTGCCATTTTAGGTTCGATAATTATTACACCCATAACATTGTTAAGTTGTCTTCAAACAATGGTACAGTAAATAAACACTACCTTCTGGAATATCAAAATCCTGCGTTCCCTTTGTAGTTCAAGTTGTGGCTCCTATGCAGAAAAAGCATACTAATCTAAAGTATAGCATTGCACAGTTCACAACTAAAGCATATTGGAACTGAGCCATATTGTTATTAAGTACAGCTAAGGCTGTATTGATTCTATTACAGCCAAAGCATTGTGTTCTGGATGATTCATTTTGCAGGCTATTCTTTAGCAAGAGGTGATAACTGATATCTTTAAACAAAATGCTATGGTCTTATTTAAGCTTATAATTTAAAAGTTTTGTACAAATGGTGAAATATTCACTTGCCCTTTAAAACTGATGTCCTTGTAGCTGAGATCAAGACAAGGATATCTAGAATTTAATTAAACATTTTTTTTTATTTTCATTTTCCTGTTGTCTAAAAAAGTGTTGTTTTTTTATTATTATTTTAAAAGGCACCCCTGACCCTAAGTGTTTTGTACTGCTGATGAGAAAAATGATCAATGACTGTCATTAGTATGTCATCAACAGGAGTCAACACACGGATCAATACGCATGGAAAAACAGTTTAGTTGCACTGAGCTGACCGTGTGCTGTTATTGTTGATAAACTTTTTTTAAAAAATTAATTTAAGTATGTATGTAATACATTTAAATTGTGTAAAGCCTAGTACAAAGAATCACACTAGTCATTGACCATTCCCACAAATCTGTGGACATGTGAGGCATTCAGTGCATCCTGGTGTGTTATGTAATAATTGAGACTGCTGAATAAAAAGCTACTTACAAACAGCCACTTATGTTGTTTTTGCCCATCTTGTCTACTTTTCTAAATAACATCTATTGGATTAATAATGCACATTGAATCATAATGGGGGGGGGGGCATCTGTGTGTGCTGTGTCTTCTACATGTGTGGCGGCAGCAGCAGCTCCACAGGCATGAGTTTATGTCGAGTTGTGTTAGTGCAGAGCTGTGTTGCTGAGGCTGTGTCACACAGGGGAGTAACCACGAGAGGGAGGGACTAAGGCGGTCGGACAATACTGGTGTTTGTGCAACAGCCCCTGAGTGGCTGCTGGTTCTCTCATATCCTCCCGCTTGACTACCACTGCTTGCACACACTGTGGAAGTGAAAGCAAAGTTTGATCCTGCCTGTGGGATGCTCCGACAAAGGTAAGGGCCCCCAAATCCCACTGCTGTGTTTGTATGGCGTAAGATAATGAAAGTGCACCGTGCTGCATGAACTGTGTGAGCTGGGACTTGTGGTCCAATGCAGTTTTAGGAACTGTAGAGGTCTGTAAGCTTTAGGTTGGCTTGGGTTGAAGCACCCTGTCACTTTGGCAGGGTCACCACTGTGCGTGAATGGAGCTGGGCTGAAAGAAAGTTACACAGGAAGAGGCTCAGTGAGAGGCATGTGTAGAATGTGACTGTAATTAAACAGTTGGAAAGGGAATGTATAAAAAAAAAGGAAGAACAATAATGGCGTACTAATGTCGTTAATGGAAAGGGCATTCAGGGTCTGTGTGTGATAGTCCCTCCAGAGAGTACTAATAAAGCCATAATGACAATTTACAGTGGCAAAAAATAGATGCAGAATGGAAGTGAAGAGATTAAGGGAGAGATTAATTAGGGACTAAAGGAAAGGAGGAGGTAAGGAGGGAGAAAAGCAGAGAAGAATAGAAGAATCTGACAAACTACAAACCAATGCCAAAGCTCAGACTCAAGTCTTATATTACCAATGATACCTCGATCAACAAGCTAACTATTGTACTCTTACAAAAAGAAAAAAAAGGCACAAAAAAAAAAAGTCCAACAATTTTTCTTTTCTTCAAATGTTTTTTACAGGCATGTGTAAATACTGGGGAATGCAAGAGAAGAAGAGAAAAATTGGGGTAAGCCATTCATTTTCACTTCTGCCCTCCTTCCTAGACTGCATATTCTTATCCTTTTAGCTGACAGATTAGAGAGACTCAAGATGTTCTGTCTGTCTATGGTAGTCCTACGACTGCATGCCTCTGTTTACATTTATGGATTACCATGATGGATGACTTCAAAGAGTCCGTGAGTCAGTGTGAGACGTCATTCTTTGAATCGCAGCTTTGTAATCAACTAATCATCAAACTAGATCAATATTTAATCTCCATAAATGACTTGGTTTGTTTTGTTGTCCTTTACAGTGTCAAAGTGAAACTGGTCTACAGTGAAAAGCTCGACGGAGCAGCAGCAAAGTTGGCCAGAAGACACAGAACCTACAGTCTCAGTTTTAACCATAAAGGACAAAGGGAAAGGAAAGAGAAAGACGTAAGAAGTGGAAAAAGGAGAACAGAGTGGAAGTGGAGGAGTAAACAGAGGAGAAGACTGGATTTGGGCCTGGAGCCCAGACAAGAGCAGGATGGCAGAAAAGAAAGTTAGGTAAGTCTTTTCCTTCTTTTCTGATTAGATTAGATGTTTACGTGAAATAAAAGTTGCTTCTTTCTGCATACATGTGTGTGTTTAAGTAATAAAAGAGCAAGAGAGCGGGAGAGGGTGAGGGAGAGAGAGAGAGGAAGTAGTGTATTGTACTGTGTTTGCATTTGTTTGTCTCATCTCTCATCTGCGTGGCTTGTCTCATTGGCTGTGTGTATGTGCATCCATGTGTTCGTGTGTCTGTGTTTATCCCCTCGCAGCCTCACTGCTAAGCTGATTAATGGGGGCGTGGCAGGCCTGGTTGGTGTGACATGCGTGTTTCCTATTGACCTGGCCAAGACCCGCCTACAGAACCAGCAGGGCGTTCAAGTCTACAAGGGAATGTGAGTTGGGCTCATTGGCCTGGAGTAACCCTCACCCTAAATAAAAAACAAAAAACAAAAATTTAAAAAAAATGATGACACTGCAATCCTATGGTTTTAACATCCTTTCTTCCCCCAAACATTTTCATCCTTTGGTGGTAACACATTTCTAATTTGAGCCTGTGCCGCATTATTTAGACAACCTCCTCTCACATAGTTTCCCAGTGACTCTAAGGGAAGGCAGCTAAACTCTCATTCTAAATCTGGAACAGTGTAGAGTAGATTAGAGATCATGTGCAGCAGTAAAACATTATTTAAAAAAAATAAATACAGAAATAAGGAGCATTTGTATGTCGGGATTAGACCTGCAGAAGAACTGGGCAAATCTGGTGACTTTTCAGACTGACTGCTGACTGGGTGTGGCCATCCTGTGTTTAGCAGACGGTGGTTTTCCCCTCTGAGTCAGAGATGGAAAATGTACTGGGGATAATAAATTCTCCTCAAACTTGAAAGAGTTTCTGCATGAGTGTTCATACAGTTCATACAACTCCACATTTTCAGAGATAGTAAAAAGGATTTGTGTGTTTTTTGACACAGACAAGGACAATTGTCATGGGGGTAGTGACAAATAGTGCACCGGATAATTCCTATTATAAATATGGTCAGTGTAGTGTTGTACTGTTTGAGTGAAACCTTTGTGAATTTCTCTTTTTTTTCTCATTAAAGGCTTGATTGTCTGACAAAGACTGTGCGCTCAGAAGGCTACTTCGGTTGCTATAGAGGTATTGTCTACATTTCTAATCCCTGTGACGAACAGCACTACATCTTTGTGTAACATGAGCTTATCCTGCTCCACATGCCATTGTTAACACCAGTGCACTGCTTAAATCTGAAGTGTGGGTTATTTGCATCATGTGGAGTAAATTGTTCTGCTTTAAGTTGTCTTTGTCTTCTGCAGGTGCAGCCGTGAATCTCACACTGGTTACACCAGAAAAAGCCATCAAGCTGGCAGCCAATGATGTCTTTAGACAGAAGCTCTCCAAGGATGGGTAATGGTGCCTCCATATTATGATATGATGTATATCTGAAAAAGGCTAAAAGGTTCTGATCCAGCCTGATCACAGGGAAATAATAATATTTGATCAATTTTGATCAAATTGTAAAAAAAAATCACAATATTTTAGTTTGATGTTTCAAACACGTGCATTGACAGATAATTTTAAAGTTTTAGTTTAGCGTAGTCACACAGAAAAAACTAACCAAACTACACAATTAAAAAAAATCATTAAATTACAAATATATTTACCATACCTCAGCGCTAGCTTTAAAAGATGTCCCTCATTTGTAGCAACAAAATATGGCACAAATTAACGTTAAGTAGGGGTCGTTGTCAGTTGTTACTGCAGATGTTCAGTTGTCAGGGGAAGTAAATAAAAAACTTATGGCCGTGTACAAAAACTGGGCTTCAAGTTGTCAAATTTAGCAGTAGAGCCTTTCCATTTACATATTTTACAATAAAATGTCTATTTTTCTCATTAATATTTTATTATTTACTTTTAGAATGACAGGTTCCCTTCCTTTTTTCATGTTGCCACAATAAGACACACACAAACATTAGGTCCCTAAGGAAACAAAATGACCTTGAAAATGTATCATCAGAATATCTCTCATTTTTGGTCATCACTCCTCTGTTCTCTGTGCTACATACTATCTGCAGCGTATTTTTTTTCAAATGAAAACTGTGTTTGCAGGCATTTGCCCCTGTGGGGCGAGGTACTGGCAGGCTGTGGTGCTGGGACCTGTCAGGTTGTAGTCACCACTCCTATGGAGATGCTCAAGATCCAGCTGCAGGATGCTGGGAGACTCGGTGAGTTAATGGGCATTTTGGAACTATTTTATTCTCAGAGTTGGTATATTTACATTTCTTTATTAAATTGTAATTTCTGTAACATATTCTACAAAATGTACACTCTTACGAATTTGATGATCTGCAATTTACCTTACTTTTACTCAGCTGCTGGGTCGGTATCATTTACAGCTCAAAAGCTAAGCACCACTGCCCATGAAGTGCTGTGCTATAAGACACTGGAAGTTGAAGACAGTCAGAAAGTTAGTCAGAATCTGCCGGTAGCCATTTTTCTCCAACTGCTTAATTGTTGCTATGGTTACATGAAGCCATTCTCCCTATTATTTAAAGGTAGATACACAGATACGGGTGGTTAAACAGGTGTGTAAAGAGCCAAACTGTTCTCAGTCATTTAGGAACCATAATATTTACATAAAATAAGAATATGTTCTCTTCAAACTAATTAGCTCTTCAAGGCAATAAAATAAATCCACAGAATAAGTGCTCAAATATTCAATACAAAAACCAACACTGGTCTGTAAACCTACGCTAACCTTGAACTTATTATGTTTTAAATGTAACCTTGAAATTATGTGTTAAATCTGTTAGCTGCTCAAAGGCCTGTGTCAACAGCCACTGGCCCAGCTCCATCTTTAGTGGCCACCCAACCGCCAGCCCGGCCCACCCCTCCACGACCCTCGGCTACTGGCATCACCGCAGAGCTACTGAGGACTCGTGGCCTGGCCGGTCTCTACAGGGGAGCAGGAGCAACTTTAATGAGGTCACACATGAACTCACACACACACGACTTAAACACACCCTCTTACACCACAAATTAAATGTTTTACTTATTGACACGTAACAACATACTTTTAAAATACTTTCAAACAGAAGTCAAATTTAAGAACTCTATCGTATTGCAATACTGAGAATTCCCACGGCCAAATCCATACTTTTCAGGGACGTCCCCTTCTCAATGATCTACTTCCCACTCTTTGCCAACCTGAATGCTCTGGGACGAGAAAGAACAGGTGGACAGGGCGACATGCAGGCCCAGGCTCCATTCTGGCAGTCCTTTGTGGCCGGCTGCACTGCAGGCTCAATAGCAGCTGTGGCTGTAACACCACTGGATGGTGAGTGGCACACAGTCACAAAAGCATAATTGAGGGTGGAAACACAGATGTCTACGAGAGACTTATAGGGAGGCTACATTTATTTCAATTGTAAATGAGTACTGACACGTGCTGGCCTCAGAAACCAGCATGAGAAGTTCTGAAGTCTCACTAAATTGTAACTGTAGAGAAACAAACAAATGGATGTTTTAGTTGCTTAGAAAAGCTTCACTGACTAAACTCTGAACTGGTCTAGAACACGTATATTTATTTTTTACTGACTGAAGTTTGCTACTTTTTAGTACAACTTTTGAGAAATACATTTTTGACACTATTAACTAAAGCAGCAATATATTTTATTTGCCAATCTTTTACCTTATGAATATTTTTCGTCTCTCCACTGGATTTAGTCTTGGTTAGCTTCAATGTCTAAGGGTGGTTCCTAGGCCCAGCACTGAGAGTACTGCTTCAGTATGAATACAGGTTGGGCCATTGATAAGGGGGGAAAACAGGTCAGCTGATAAAATAAATTAAAGTGATAATCTTCACCTGAAAGTGTGAAATGTCCTTTTTATTACACTAGAACGAAGGCATACCATACTGGATCCCTATGTTTTTACTGTAGACACAAGTAAATAGTGTAGTTTGTGATAAGCTAAGAAGTAAGGTGAGGGATACTGCTGCTGTTAGATTCCCCTCCTGATTCTTCCACTTCTTCTCTTCATACAGTAATAAAGACTAGACTGCAGACCTTACAGAAGGGAGAGGGGGAGGACACATACAGAGGAATTGTTGATTGCACGAGGTACAAACGTGTTTCCCTGATATCTACAAAACCAAAGCCTGTTTGGAATATGCTTGGGTCTTATATCTTTTATTGTCTGCAGGCGCATCCTGAGGCGCGAAGGGCCGGCTGCGTTCCTAAAAGGTGCAACGTGTCGTGCGTTAGTCATTGCTCCTCTTTTTGGGATTGCACAGGGTGTCTACTTTCTTGGAGTTGGGGAGATGGTGCTGAGCTTTCTGGAATAACGGGTCTGTTGTGTTGAAGGTGTCAGCATGGTCTATCTACCGCAAATCATTTGCTGTATAAACGTGTGATGAATGCATGGTGGTTCAGAGAAGAGTGGATGCAAAGGGAAGGAAACGGCAGCCTCGACCTCCTGATCTCATCTGATTTACCACAATGTGGACAAACTTGCCCACAATAAATACTTTTTTCTCTGGGTTTTTTAAAATGCTGGCAACATGGTTGCACATGTAACAGGGGGATTCAATGCATGTGGGTTAACTAATCAGTGTGCTTATGTTGTAATACACATCTGGAGTTATTTTCTTTTTACCTTGACCAGAGTTATTTGCTGTGTTTGCAGATGTTCTTTGTCCTTTTCAATTTATATTTAAATACATATATATGACAATAAATATACATATATGTGTATATATATTTACACATATACAATCACACATATGTGATTATATGTATATAATATATATGTGTGAATGTTGCAAATTCATTTCCACATAAATTATTACACATGATCTGATCAGGATTGAAATGGGATATTTTAAATTTTCTTAAGAGAACATTAATCTTAGTGCATTTTAATGAGTGTATTTCCCATACAATAATTAACACTAACATTTTAATGGATTTAAGTCATTCAAAAATTTAGGAGTACATGCATACAGTCCTGACTGTAGCTGTGTGTTACTAGATCTTGAATACCCAACAGGGCCAAATTTAAATATTTATTTTTGACATTGGTAATATCCCAAATAAACAGCAATTGCAGTAAAATAAAATAATAGATTGTGCAAGACAAAAAGATAAGATAAAATATGTTACAATAACAGATTGATGACTAACATATATTTTGTCCTCTAAGGTCCTTGGTGTATTTTATCTCAACAAGAATGTCCCAGGACTGTGAAGGGGCTGCCGTCTGATGTTAGAGGTCTACTAGTCTTCTGTATCTGTTATGATGAAGAGCTGTGCGTCATTCAGTGTGAGTCACTATTTCCCATGTTTTTCCCACCAGAAGTTGGTTTAGAAGGAATCTAAAATACAAGCCCCATTTTCTCTATGGCCTGTCCTCAAACTCCAAGACTTGTTCTGCTTTTCATTCTGTTGTGAATTACTCCCACTCCAACCATGCGAAGTGTGAGTTGTAATCTTGGAGTGTCAGGATTGGGAAGGGCTACCTACCAGTGTCCCTGAGGTCAGGCGCTAATCTGATGTTAACACTTTAATCCCTGTATTAGTGTACAATATAATCTAACCCACAGATCACTTCCTGCCTAGAGGCCACAGGGTAAACTGCTGGGCCACTGTGTCGTCGCCTTCACATTCTCTTCTTCATGGCTATTGAAGGGTTTTTTTTTTAAAAACAAACAAACAAAAAAACAAAATAAAACAAGGAACTGTTGGTTTTATGTGTATACACTCTATATTATTGTTTTGTTACTTCACACAACAAGCGTGCATTAACCTAATAAATGCAATTAAAGCCTTATCATAGCTTAAAATGTCTTTTTGTTGTTTTCATATTTGACTTCAATTTAAAAACAATTTATATTCTCTAGACCCACTAAGGGGGAATGGCATCTTGTCTTGATAACTGTTAATGAATCCACTGGCTGGCACTAAAAAGATTTTTTTAACATTTTTATGCAGGAGACATTTTGATGTGGCGATGTATCCAGGCTAATCTATTTTGCCTACTGTAGAGTAAACATTTGTTTACATGCTGCAAATAAATCTTATATTTCTGATGTCTGGAAGGAATTCTCTGAGTTTTGTTTTTATTATTATTTTTTGGTTGAAAAAGAAGTAAAAATTAGGAAATGTAAAAAAAATCTCTTGTAAAAAACACCTGGATTTATCAAAGGACTATTCACTCATCTATAAATGCATCTTCTGTCAGCTGTTTGCTTTGGGCCTCTGTCTTTTTCTATTTTTAAACTATTGTGATCCACATGATTGTTTTGGCACATGTTTTATGTTGGAAGCCCCTCCTGACCCAACCCTAACTGAATTATCCAGGCTTAGGACCTTGTGCCCCACTGTGGCTGGGTTTATAAATGCATCACAATTCAATCAATAAATGGCCTTTCGCTCCTAAAAATATTTTAAAAAGACAGTAATGCTTCATGTTTGATTTCCAAGTTGTTATGAAAAACTCCAGATCACAGATTTATTTTATCAAACTTCAGTCAGGAATAAAATATCTGAGTTTCTATGGAGTGTTGATTATTAAACATCTGACTGATGCAATACTGCCTCTATGTGGTGAAAAGCTATATTGTAACCCAACGTCTCAGATGTTAATTATAAAGATAATGAGTGTCTTATGTCTATAGTCTTACAAAATAAACTGAAAACTTTTTATTGGTTTAGTTTGAACATTTGTGATGCAGACCGTCCACCTGACAAACCATTAGATGTAGGTGTAAGTGCAAGTAAATTAATACACTGTTTGTAGAAAAACAAAATAACAAAGGGGAGGACACATAGACATTAAAGTCTTAAGAAATACTTGACGTGATGTCTGGCAGGAGATTGTACAGATTATTACTGAAATGATAACCCGTGGTCACATTACATTCACTTTGGCCATGTTGCCACTTAAAACCTACATTAATCTGTGAACTTGCGATTCGGGTTGACACCAAACAGGTTACCTCTGACTTCTGGCATCATCTGTGGAATATGATTCATGATTCAAATTAGAAGAAAGGGGTAAAACAAATAATTTTATTTTAATTATAAAGTTATAAACTAAAAAGATAGCTAGCCCTAACTCTGCTGTATGCTACTGCCTTCTTGTTTCATTGCTATCATGTTTAGCAAATAAAATTAGATGGAATTAGATAAATGGGTAGATGGGTTAAAACCCAGACTGGCTAAAATGGGTAGATGGGTTAAAACCCAGACACACTTAAATAAATAGTAAAACATTCCTAAAAATAAAAAATCTAGCTAGTGTTTAGTACATCTATTATTGTGCACCAGCAGTGGATAGATTACCTCGCAGGTAAACCTGTAGAATGTTACTGCCCTCTACAGACAATCAAATAATACTAAATGTATTGTAAAATTATTAGATTAAAAAAACATACAGAGCTAAAGTACAGCATCTTCAAAGTATCTTTACCTGATAGGCTATGAGTTCCAGCCTGCTCTCCAAAGTGTTTGAAACCTTGATCTTTCCATTATCATTGTAGACCTCAACTCCACCACAGCTGTTCAAAAAAGACAAGAGTCACTCAATCAGACTAATTTGTGATGAAGACACATTAGAATCTCTAAATGGCTATTTAAATAAATAAAAGAATAACCACAAAGATGTGTGAAAAACGTTCTTCTCACATTCCTGATGGAAGGAAGCGTTCCTTGTCAACTTTGACATCTATGTTCTGCTTCACAGCCTCTTTGTAAATAGGGATGCTTTTTAAAACTGCAGCCTGATTAGTGACAAGTGAACGTAAAAAAAAAGGTTAAAGTCTCTGATAAAAAAAAAAATACAACAAGTCAGGTGATTCTCACCTGAACCATTTCTACATCCTGCTGCCGACAGCGAATGGTAACTTTGGGCTCCAGCAACTGATAGAATCCCTAAAGAGAAAATAACAAAATCAACACAGTTCAATCTCCTGAGATGAACAGCAGTTGGTCAAATTACCTGAAGTATTAGGCCTTCCAGTAGGGAAGAGTACTTAGCAGGGTCCTTGGCGATTTCCCCAAGTCTTTGACGGGCCTCTGTCAACAAATCCTGAGACAAAAATACCAACTCAATAGTTTAAACTATAACTTATTTAGTCCAAGTAATTTTATTGGTTACTCTATACGATAGTGAAAGGCAGAACAATTAAATACTCTTTCTCTCTTAGAAAATCTTTGTGTCTTTCTTCAGTTCTAACTACTATGTCAATGTTGTTTTTAAATAAACATGCCCAGATTCCAACATTGAGTAAAGTAAAATAAATTTAAACTAGACAATCATTACATTTATCACATTTAATTATTTTACACAAAAGTAAAAAAAAGATTATTTATAAAATTAAATGTAAGAATTGTACAACACAGAAAAAGTCTAACCATGATCATGTCATCACGTGCCTTCAGCACCTTCAGTCTGGCCTGGTTCATCAGGTTGGACATCTGACTGTGAGAGCAAAGCAAAGTTTAAATGAGTACACCTGCTGCACACCCACACTGACAACATCCTTAATGACAGCCTAAAGTTAAATAATAGAAGAACTGCAGAAAGGTAAGGATTAATACGTAATACTACAGCACAAAGTCCAACGTGGCAGAGTAATGTTTTTGCTGTGTTGTGCAAAAAGGCTCAGATATGATCCAATACTTTTTCAGTAGCCAACCATAATGCCAACTCTTTTAATTCTGATCTAGCGTCACTTCTCAATAGCTATAGGCCGACTAAAACACTCACATTTTCTTATGTTGTTCTATTTGTTTATCTTTCTTCTCGTAGTACTCCATTATTTTTACTCTCTGCGTCTGAACCAGACGACCTTTTTCAATGTTGAACTCTTCCTCTGCCTGTAAACAGATTATGGCAAAAGTGGTATGGACATGATTTCAGGCAGCAAAAAAAAATTACTTTGAAATTATATTTTGAGGCAAATAACATCACTTTACTGAATTGACATAAAAACGGTGTCATGGTCAGAAAGACAGACACTTAGGATAACTGACGCACATACAGTAGGACAGTCAGACAGTTGTTACCTTAGCATCAATCTCCTCAACTTTCTCATTGGCCTCTTGCTCAATGAAGGCCATCATGTGCTTGATCTGCTCAACACACACACGCACACACAGAGTGAGAGTTCAATATTTACAGTTATGTCAATGTTCTACAACACATGTTTATATAATCCAATTTACGTCTAAAAGAGTCACAACTGAAGTTCTTCTCAATTAAATACATTCCAGTGATGGGTATGAGTAAGAATATGATTTGATTTTTGCTCATGTGAACTGATAACTTTCGGGAATTTGAAAATATGTAAAAATAAATGGTAGTTTTCCAATAAAATAAATAAATGAAAAATCAGCATTTGATGTACCAGATGACTAACCGAGAAAAAAGTCAACCGCCAAAGCAGTCCCACTAATAAGTGAAAAATCCTTAAGCAACAACAACCGTTCTGTCAAGTAAAATCTAAGCAATACAGTTTGTAACAGTGTTAGAGAGGAAGACATACAAGAACACTAACACGATGCGCCCGTAGTTAGCCTTTAGCTTTAGTTTGACGTGTTTACTTGAATCCATAGTATAGTCTTAGGGGAAACTGTTATAATGTACTACACTTTGTCTGTGTACTTTACCTGTTTCTGCACGTCGGCGTCGGTGAGCGCCATTTCTGCTCCAATAAACGTTGACAATTTTTTAAGTGACGGTGTCAAAATAAAAAAAATCGTCAGGTTCAGTTAAAAGGTTTAAACTGTCAACAGCTGTAAAAGTAACCGACTTTTCCGCTTGTTTAGTTCCCCTCGAGTCAGTTATAGAAGAATATGACAACTTCCGACTGTGACTTTCAAAATAGAATTTCAATATTAAATTAGTTTTATTTTTTATACGTGTACGCTTTTAACGCATAAACAATGTACGTCTCTATCTGTGGGAATAAATGACAAGAAGGTTTCCTAAATTTGTCATTATAATAGATGGCAGAACATTTCTGATAAAGCTATTCGATTGCTTAATTCTGTTCAATAAATAATCCCAAATAAAATATAATAATCTGGATTATGTATATTCGCGTCTCTAAATTATAAATGACCCACTTTATATAATTAAATCCAAGAAAGGACAAGATAACATAAGATTTCACTAATCATACAATGGGAAGATTCAATTCATTGAAGAAAAATACCAATACATTTCTTTAATTAACAGTAAAGAAGAAGATCCCTTTAAAAAAGAAATGTACAATTAGAGTTTAGATTAGAGTTAAAACATCAAATCGTGGCTATTAAACTAAAACAGACACTTGGTTTGTTTTGGTTTGTTTTATTTTGTTTTCTTTAGTGCATTTAATGTATTTTTATGTTATTACATTTTTTACATATTTTTTTGTATTCTATTGTCCTTTGCTGTAAGTACAGCATTACACAATTACTCCCCCCCCCCCCCCCCCCCCAGCATGTTAAAGGTGCTTATTAGCTGTTGGGCTGCCTCCTACTTCCGGTTTAGGTCTTTATTTTGAAAATAATATCCTAAACTTCTTCGTACGTGTTATCGCTAGCTTATATGTGAGCGCTGCCCCTGCAGTATTGTCTGCGTGCCCTCTATTGCTACTGCTGCTGGGGGCTTGTCAGAAATTTCCTCTCAGCCCGTCCGTCACTCTTTCAGCACCTGCTTTTCTTCAGAAAATAACGGTAAGGCATACGCTGCATATTAGCTAAAGTTGAATAAAAGTTTTGTCATTCTAAATAACGTCACCTAAAACGTGTGCCCTTAAGCCAGCCATTTTAGCTCGCATGGACACAGGTATTTTTTAAGACGATCGGATTCACTAAAAAACGAGATGTCTTTTTCGAAAACCCTTCTATAGTTTTATAAGTAATTGGCTAAATAGCCATTACACTTAACAATGTCGAAAAAATGTAATCTGTGTGATCGTAAACTTGGGCAAATGGGTTTTATTTTAGAGAAAATGAAAAATATTTGCATTTTAATCAATTTTCAGTCTGTTGCTATAAAATAATAAATACCAGTCATCTTTTAAGAAGTTTACGACATAATTTATTTTGATAGTACAAAACGGAAGCGTAGCATCACTTACATGACATTAGTTAAACTTTACATCAGAATGTTGGACCTTAACTTTTTTCTTTAAGATCAGATTTTGATAGATTTTTCGTAGTTCATTGCGCTCTCAGTGCAAAGACTTGACTTAATTTAACATCTGCAACTCTCAATTTGTTTTTCATTGACGGACTTTTCACGCCCCTCTGTCCACCACGTGTCTTATGTAAGTTCAACTGTTAAACGAAGCAGGGACAAATTGTCCTCCCTTGTGCTCCATAGGACACTGTGACATTGATATATGTGAAATACACTTAAATCATTTTAACAATGGAAGCCAGACATAAACAGTCCTTTCTTTAACGGTTATATGAGCTGGTCTTTGCGACATTTGATTTTCTTAAAACAGCCATTAATTATTTAATTTATTGTCATTAAAAATGGGTTTGTTTTTATTTAGTAATGTGACCATGTGGCAGTGTGGTTCAAAAAGCAGATAACTAATGTCTCTGCGGTGCTGTACACCTTCAACATGTCTGCCAAAGTATAGGTACTACATTCAGCAATTGAAACAGTTTGATTGTTTTGTCATTGTTACACAGTACACTGCTGCACACAACTGGATGTGACCTCTTTCACCCATCACCTTAGTGAGCAGGGGGCAGCTCCAGCTGAGCAGAGAGCAGTGTTTGGGGACAGTGGCATGTTTAGTGCACTTAGTGGCACCTAGTTAGTAATTAGAAACTTCCCCCTTTTTAAATATGGGTTCTGTGTTTGTTTTTCTATAGTATTTCTCTTGAAAATCAAATTATCATTAAAAAAATAGTAGTAGTTTTGCTTAAAAATTTAAGTATGTATTAAATATACACACATTGAGTATCTACAGTATATTTTTATTAAGAGTTACTCTGTGACATAATGTCTTCCTGAAGCCAATCTGGCTCTTAGTTGTGAAGGTGACTTCCACACCTTTGTCCTTGTTTCTTTATCCTCTGCGACTGGAAACTTGTAGACAAAACAAAACAAAAACCTTTGACAGGGATTTTGAAAACACAATTAACATTTTACACAGTGCTGTTGATGTTAAAGGCTCAATAACTTTCACTTCCTCTTTTCTTCCCTCTGCAGTTTTTCTTTGAGGGTCTCGTCCAACGTTGACTGTAAGAATTAATGTGCCTGAGACACAAGTCATTTCAATGGCTACCTCGGACTCCACCTTCTCTGCCTCCCAGTCTGCTCCTGTGCCCCAGGGTTTCCATTATGAAACCAAGTACATAGTTCTGACCTACATGGGAATGCTGCCCCATGGAAGATCACACACTCTCACTGCAGCTCAAGGTGAGAGGTTAGACTTCCAAGATCTGTGTTTCACTATTGCTTTTTACATAAATCTAAACTGCTTCAAGTGGGTGTTAATCCTCAGACTTGTGCATTGTTTTGGCACATAGCTGTGTGCATGTGTGCACACGGTAAGACCAAAATTATTCAGGGTGTGAAGGCAAGTTGCCACCTGTTATCCAGCTGACTTTACCCTTCCCCGACATCGGCTTTGAAAGTCATTCAATGACATATTTTAGTTTAAATTATTCTGATTTGAATTAAGAATCACCAAGAACCAGTTACTTAGTTTCACATGCTCTCAGTTGAAACTCGTGCCATGATCCCAGACTTTTATGAATTTTTTTTTTTTTTTTTTTGCTGTCCCACATTCCTCTCAGTTTGTGCATTTCCCCTCATCCTTTGCAAACCAAAAGAGGAATTAAAGGTCGGCCTCACTTAGGTGGCAACAACAACAAAGAAGACAGAACGCATACTCTCATGTTGATAAAATGTCACGACATACAAACTGGAAATTACTCCACCTTCATTAAAAAACTTTAAAAAATATTATGAATTTGAACCTTTTCATTTATTTTGAATTTTACAAATTATGAATCTGTAAAACTGCAAAAGCACTCATTAAACTCAGTTAAAGTTTGACTTAAACTGCTTTTACTTTTGATGTAGGTTATACAGAACCTCCAAGTCCATTAAAAAGTTGGGTTAAAGTTGAGATAAATGAGAAAGATGTTCAGCGTCTATGGTCTTCAAGGGGAAATGAGGAATGTTCTTCATTTTTCTTGCCCCTTCATTGTCTTATAAATGCTAAGAATGCTGGGTGGAGAACAGAATCTGTGTAGCTAATCCCTGTTTTCCGCTCGACCCGGTCCAATATGTGACAGTCTGTCATGTGTAATCACACAAGGATTAGTCATGGCAGTGGACTGAAGATGAATGCTGACACAGCAATGGGCCAAGTCAAAACTAACACTGGACCTCATTGTGTTTGCATGTGAACTGCAGAGAGAGAGAGAGAGAGAGAGAGAGAGAGAGATTCCTTATTTAAGACCATGCTCTTTTAGAAAGCCTTCATTCCAGACCTGTGGAAATTGCTGTGGATACAGAACATGTGGTGACCAGAGAGTTGAATGTTGTTGTATTTTTATGGAGTCAATGAATGCTGTGTGCGTTTGTGTGTCTGTGCACGCACACGTGAACATGCCTTCATCGCTATCTGTCAGCATGCACTGATGCTCTGTAGTGTTAGCATGCAAGGATATCACACAGTTGTCTTCTTTCTGTGTTGCATACTGAGTAAAACATGACGCACACATTTGCAAACACCCCCTTTATTTAGGACGCAAAAAGAGAAACAGTGTATTTGCTTTTCTGTTTGTAAAGATGACCAGAATGAACGAGAGAGGCAGAGAATAATGAAGGAGCAGATAGAGGAAGAGCTGAGACGACTGGAAACGGAAATAGATGCAAGTATGTGGAGACACACACACACACACACACACACACTCTACTTCTAGTATTGTTTTTTTCATCTTTGTCATTACCTATCCTCCCATATCAAGAAAAGTAAATGAATATTCAAATTTGATTTGAATTTGATGAATTCTGAGTTTTCAGAGTTGTGTTTTTTCACCACAGACCTGGAGCGCCACTCATCATTAGTATTCAGTCCAGTCAACCCAGAGACCAGTATTAATGACTGCCTGGCTGTGATGGGAGGGCGTGTGGTCAGAGAGCTGGACGTGTTCCTCACAGCAGCAGTGCACACACTCCTCTCAGGGTGAGTTACAGCGGTGGACAAGTTTGAGAAAATGTAGTTTATTTGTCACTGTAAACATGAGGTCGAGGAAACAAAGTTTGTCAGTTCTACAGACAGAGAGTCAGGGACGTCTTATAGAGAGAGTGTTTTTTTAATTATAGCTGTAAGACACTTATTATACTAGTATATTTTGCCTTGTCAACATAATGACGTAATATACATGTACACACACATACAGTGTGTGTATGTATGTGTATATATATATATATATATATATACACAAACACACACACATACAACAGAAATATTTGTTTTATGTGTTTGAACTGGAAAAACTCCAGCAGTGAATGTGTGAAACTTGTTGTAAAAGAATATTCTTAGTTTGAAGCTGTGTCACTGTTTAGAAGCTTAGACCATGTAAGACATTACTGTTAACATGAACGAACAGAAAGAAACACGTTACAATCCAAGTGGGTAAAAAAAATAAGATACAAACTATTTGCCATCTGAACTAAATTGGAGTGGACCTGAAACCCAATAGCAAAAACTGCATATATGATATATTAACTTGTCTAGATATATGACAGAACAGGAATATATGTTGGTTATATTTTTTTGTGTAACTTGTGCTTCAGGCCTCTGGACTATCACACATTCAGAGAGACTACCCTGTCACTCTCAACACACACAGGAGGAGGCTGGAACAAGGTCAGAGGCCAGGAGTTTTACATTTTCACATGTGCTCTTTTTATGCTTTTCCTTTTTTGTTCATTACGCTCAAATTCTCATCTTCTAGGTCCTGGTTCCACTAGTTCTTCTTCAGGCTTTACAAAGTGAAAGTCAGTCTGTTACTCGTCTGCTAAACCTTGGGGTGCGATTGTTGGAAGAGGAGGAAACTGATTTCATCGTCCAACAAGGAGGATGGGTGAGTTTTTTAATTTACTCTGTGTAGAATTAAATTAATGCTAAACAGATTTTTTTCAAACCCAATCAACACTTCATTAACAGTAATGTGTTGGGTTTATGTGCACGTTTTTGTGTACTACATCAATGATACATATATATGAGTCATATAACACTCAAGTACCCTGTGTGTCCAGGACAGCAAAACTAACAACTACTACTACAACAACAAAATTAAAACAGCATTCCAAGAATTTCACCTGTTTATTATTGACCTCCAGGACATTTTATCATATATTGTAGTTGCTGGTCTGCTGGCTCTAATGGAAAGTACTGCAATTAGTTTTTGTTTTAATATTCAGTTTGATATGAAACATCGCGTAGAGACCGGAAGTCCAGTATTTAGCTCTAAAACGTTAAATCTACATGGATGGTGAGACTGGTAAATGACCAGGTGGGGGCATCAGTGAGCTACAACTTTCATATCATCCTCTCTTGTCCATTTCATCGCATTTACAGAAAGGTAGGACAATCCCAGTAATGTATATTAATGTATTGTTATTCTAATTTTACTCCAGAATCAAATGTAAAATGTATATTCTCACCTGTAAAGATGAGGACACTATAAAACAGACTCCTACACATGGTATAATTTTTTTTCACAGTTGCTGTTTTTGTCAAGTGCTACTTCAAACATCTGTCACGTCTTCAATAAATTGGTTTTCAGAAATTGAACTGTTGAGGCTTTAGCTGTAGTTCTCCCATTCAACACAAACAAATAAATCCCTGCATCACAAATGGTTCACCATGAACCATGTCATACCAAGATATGATCACGTGACCTAACACGTTAACCTCCCCAGGTCGCCATTATGTCATTGGCTGTGTCCTCATTCACATGTGAGCTCCAAAAACAAAAAACGCATTCACTTGTTATATCACAGGGATGAGCTGGGACAGGATGATGATGATAGGCTGGGACAGGATGAGTGAGGGCGGAGTGGGCAGAGAGGAGTGAGGGAGGGAGAGAGAGAGAGAGAGAGAGCATGCAGATGAGAGGGGAGGCAGTGAGTGGCAGGGGAGGGATGAACAAGACCTAGAGCAGACAGCAAGCCAGAGGAGGAAGGTGAAGTCTGACAGCTGGCTTCTGACCTGCACTCCATCACCACAACTCTACTACTTTTTTATTCTCTTGAGGTCATTTCAGAAGTTTGCCTGAAGGTAGGATGGTTTCGTTGTAATGCAGCTTTGCTGAAAGTTGCATAATTATGAGGGTTTTAATGTGTGTGTGTGTCTGAGCCAGAACAACTGTGTAGCAGCAGCAGCAGATAAATAACCAGGTCTTGTTTAGGTTTAGTCGTTTCATGTTGCTGGGAATAAAACCAGAATTCAATTACCTTTAATTACCTAGGTTTTCTTTGTAAAGAGCAAATGTCATTATTATTTTACTTTTAGTGAAAGACACGCTATGTTTATACCAGTGACCACTATGAGTTATGACCTTAGTATTATGAACACTTCATTTGGCAGGAACAAAAGCAGTGGCCTTTAAACAGGGCTCCAGCCAGAGGCAGGAGGAGGAGACAAACAGAAATGGCCTACATGACAAAGGTCTATTCTGATCTGAATCAGAAACATTGTACGCCTACTAGGAATATATTATATATTATTTATTTGTCCATAAATTGACTTAAATTTTAGAACGCCTGTGAGGATAGACTAACAAATCAAATAACCAATTACAAAGCAACCAAAAATCTACAGCATAAAGAAAAATAGTTGTCATAGTATCAATATTATATTATTATTATACATCTTTGTTATTATTATTGTTGTTGTTGTATAAATGTATTGCACCTTCCACATAGTCAAGCCAGATATTCTCTAAAGATGAAGCACTTCCTTTTTAAAATTAAGTTCCTAATTTCATTACCTCTACCTCTCTGTTGTACACTACTATAAATATAAAATATGTAGTATTTTGTAAAAAAAAATCTTGAATTTGGTCTATCTTATAAAATGCATCCATTGAACTCAGTGATGAGGTGCAGCTTTTACATGGTTCAGTTAAATGTCATCAATCAATAAAATAATGCATTCAAAACTGTGTGTACTTTAGTCATTAGTTATTACAGGCCTGCAGGGTCTCATGTCATAAAGTTACAGGTTAGAAGTTCATGAAGTGGCTGCTGCTCCTGATCAATTTGCAAAGCTGGGGAAATAACAAAAACGCACATTCTGTAGTTATCTATTTACTGCCAGTTACACTGCTGTAAAATGAAATCAAGATGATTCTGAAAGGTAACAGACAAATTTAAAGAAGCTGATGATTTTGCCACTGTAGCTATGGCTTCTTAGAAACATAAATTGCGGTGATGATATGTGTCTGTACTGGAGTCACAGATCCAATCCATTGACATCACATCTGCTCCCTTGTCTATAGTAGGACTGTTCTTCATGTTTCATAATTCAAACGTCATCTGACTAACTCCAGTGTAAGATGATGGGCATCTGTGCCACTGCACTAACACGATGCTGGATTAGTGCATGAGAAGCCCTTTAAATAGCTTTACGTAATACACCATCAGTAGATTGACATAGAAATGGAGGCTGTGAATTAGTCATAGGGTTTGTTTGAGCCATAGCACATATTTTACAAATACCTCCAAAATATATTTAATGAAATATAATGGCATTCTGGTTTATTTATTTACTCGGTGTGAAATATGGATTTTTTATTTCTGACATTTTCTATTATTTAATTTGTACTTGCTCTTACAGCACCCAGAATTCTCCACTGGAGGGTTTTGTATCAGTTATAAAGTGGTGTTATTGAGACAGCAGACTGAATCAATACTTGTTTTACATGACTTTGTGTTTGTTTCACAGTGGGGGGGCGGAGTCTAGTGTGACATGTCTTGCAGCAGAGCAACACGGTTTTCCTTATTTAACAGTGTAAAGTTTGTGTAGGGTGAGCTCTGACTGTAGCCTCTTGTGTGAGTGCTGGTCTTTTTCTGTTGCAATTATTCTGTAAGTTATAGAAGTGAGCGATGTGATGTCAGGTTGGTAAACTTCAGAAAACCTTTGTTACTTTGGACTGTACCTGTTTGTATCCAGAAACAAATATTATGTTACAAATGGCTACGAGTTGATGCTTACTTTTTTTTCAATATCTAATCTGCTACAGTTGACTTTTGTCCTGACATCATTTGTTAGGATCTTAGGAGTTTTTATTGGCATTATTTCTGCTGATGGAACACTCAGAATCCCATCTGGTGGAGTCACCTCCTACGTGACAACAGCACAGCCTGAAGCATGCATGTGACAGATCCAATTTAACTTCGCCCTGTTGACTTAGTTGTTCACATGCAGCAGTTCTTCTTCTCACACCAGGTCTTTCTTCTTCTCGGTGTCTTTTGTGACACAATCTCATAAGCTCAAATGCAGCACCACATTGGTCGAACAGCTTGTGGGCCCCAGATAACCGCACCTTCAGGGGGTTCACAGGGTCTTACTGACATTGTCACCACAGACCTCTGGTGCACTACAGATAAACTGTTTGTTCTATTGACAAATGTTAAAATGGTTGAAGTCTGACTTATTTTACTTGCAACACAAAGTAATCATTTAAGTATAAAGCCCTTTAGTCATTTAATTACACAGCCTTTTACTAATGCTGTGTTTTAAATCTGCGATCTGTATTTTTATTGGCTCTGTCATTTTCTTCCAAAAATGTTCTCTCCAAAACACACACATTTTGTATTTTAAGGTCATCTACAAATTGTCGCTTTTGCAGAACCTACAAAACGTATTTAAAACGCGTTGGTCATCTCAAACACTTTGCTTTCTGATTGCTTACCAGGACAGCAGAGCTAAAAAAAAAAAAGAAGAAAAAAACACTGCATTATAGTCTTTCTGGTTTACTGTCAAATAAAGGAAGTATGTACGGTGGAACTGCACTTGGAGCGCCCTCTGCTGTCAGAGTTATCCCTGGGCCACACAGATCAACAATCATTCACACTCACATTTACACCTGTGTTTTATATTTAAAACAAAAGTCAACCGTTTGTGATATTAGTGTGCATCGGTGATCTGATGATCAGCAGGTTTCACATGACATTAGATTGCCAAACCTTCAAGTCAGTTTTCCCATTTCCTGTTTAGTCAGTAGCAACCAAACTGAGATGAGATCTTTTTTTTCTGTCTGTCTCCCACAGGGTGAATTATTCAGGATTGTATCAGAGCAGGCGCAAAGTGTGACAGTTGCTGACGACAACAACGACATTTACATCCTGTCAGGAGAGCAGCATCTCGACCAGCACAGCCCTCCATCATCTCTACTCTGTCTCGGTGACAACAGCAGTGAGCAGAGCTCCTGGCAGACGGAAAGCTTGCCTGTGTCTTTGGTCGGCCACGAGTCTTGGGCCCAGGTATCTGCTATGGACCCGGAAGACATCAAGAGCCTGGACAGTAATGAAGGAATGGCTCTGGCAGAGGAGCGCAGCGAGAACAACTCCTCAAACTCGGACATTGTGCACGTGGAGCGTGAGGAGGCAGAGCTGCTGGAGGAAGGTGCCGAGGGCGGAGGGATAGAGGAAAGTATGATGAGTGTCATAGGCACAGAGAGCGAGCTGGCCGAGCTCAGGGAGGAGTTTCCAGACCAGACTGTAGTAGAGACTGCCCCGGCCTTACTCATTTCTATGGATGAGTCACTTGTTGCAGAGACTCCTGAAATCTTGTCTGCAGAACATTTCCTTAAGTCTTCAGAACCAGAGCTGCCTCCCCCACCCTCAGAAGACGCTGCAACCCCTATGGAAACAGAACCTGAAGCACCTTTACCCGTTGCTGCTGAACAACCAAAGCCTGAACCAGAACCAGAACCAGAGGTTGTAGCTGAACCACTGCCCGCTGAAGTGACATCTCCACCTTTGGCTGCTGAAACCCCTGAAGCACCAACTGTGCCTCTAGATGCACCGGAAGAACCTCCAGAACCACAACAGGAGTCGGAGCTTCCTGCTGTGCCGAAGCCAGAGACTGTGGAAGAGCCAGCAGTGGTCTCCGTGGCTGCACCTGTGTCGTCAGAGCACGCAGAGGTTTCTCCTGCAGACCCAGCAAAGAAGCCCCCAGAGCTGTCGGACTCACCGTTTGTGTTTCCAGCAATGCTGTATGGGAGTGCCGCGCTGGTTGTCCTGGCTGCCGTAGTAACATACAGTGTTTTGAGATATAGGAGGAAGTAGATCTGAGCTGCCGAAAAAGTAAATAATGAATAGAAATAATGGCAGGGAACACCGTGTAAATCGTGTTGTATGAATTATATCCAGCTGATTTGTTTGGAATCCACTTTTATCCCAGTTCTCTGTATTTCACCCACTAGTCACAAACACTGATGTTCATTTTATCAGTCTGTCTCTTTCTCTGATTTGTGACCTTATTTTTCTGTGTGTCATGTGTCCCCATTAGATGTATAAATACTGTACTGTACAACAAATTTCTGCTCTGTCTTTGCCTCAACGTGCAATCCTAATTTTCCTTTTCACTATGGTGACACCAACAAACAAACCAAATACATGATTATGTCAAAAATAAAATTAATTTTTTTCACGGCTGAAAAAGAAAAACATTCACTGAAGGAAGCTTCATGTCGGGTTTTTGTCCCAGTCTTTTGTGTTGCACAAGAGATTTCAGCATTAAAGAAGCAACATGTATTTTTGTGAAATGAAACAATAAATATTTTGCCCAAAGATGGCTTCAAGAACTTTGAGATGTGTCCTTGAGTACTGACAACGGGTTGTCAGTAGGATTATCAATGGTTGTTGACTGTTTGGCTTAGTACAGTAATGACTCTGTAAACTGGATTATTCTGCACTTGCATTATAAGGTGTACTGTGATGGGTTTATATTGACATTCATTCATTTTAAAAACTGCACTGGCTATATGTCTTTATACATTTTCAGTTTCCATAAGTGCAAAGTAGACAAACCAAATACCAATATAAATACTGACTGTTACATCCCTCAATGAGTAACTACAATTTGCCTTTAGATATTGCTCAATGTTTATTGGTAGTAATATCAGCAGTGGAACTAGAGACGATTGAGTTGAATCTCCAGATGATGGAGGAGCAGGAAGTGCTGCAGCAGCAGATGAACCGTCATGAACGTCTATTATGTCATGGTTGAACTGACTTCCTCATTCAGAGAAATGTTTTCTTTCACAGGTGTTTAGTCGGTATTTCATCTCATGTGGTTCAAATCTTGTTTCTCATTTTACATTTTAAGTGGAACAGGAAGTGTGCCACTGTTTAACTATTCAAAATTACACAAATCCAACACACAGTATATTCACAGAATGACAGCATTGGCTGAAGCTGAACCCCTAGATGTTCTTCTAGTTTTTTAAGATAGGTATATGGAAAAAAACAAACGCAGACAGAACATCCAGAAAATCCAGTAATTATGCTGCTGTGATGTAAGATTGTTAACTACTATAATGATAACGATACACTTAATTAAAAATGTATTTATTTCCCTTCAAATGCAAAGGCATGTGACAACTTGGGGGTAAATTAAGCAAAAAAAGAACAATTAAAAAATTAATTGAAAGTAAAAAGATCCCAGCCATAAGGCATACATATTTGTCCAAGCTCTCTGTTAAATGGTTTAAAGCAATAACAGTCTCCTGGCTAAAACCACAGTCCTCCACCATAACACAATGGAAATGAAGAGTTAAAGAGGTGTATAATATGGAATTGATAACTGCAGAGAAGAACAGAGGGGTTTTTTGACCAAATGGCTCCCGATTTATGATTTAGACATTTATTTGTACGTATATACTGATGGCTTACAGACTCTATACTGACCTCAGTTTGTATATTTCCTTTATGCTAACAAGCTTAATTGAAGGACGATGTGAGACTTTCACACTGGACGTATGACATTTTTCTGCAATAGTAAAAATGAAATACCTATTAAACTGAAATAAAAAGAAGTTTTAAAAAAATGGCTTAAAGCAAAGCGACCATATGCTAGAAAACATATTTAAGACGGACATGTAAAGCAAAAGCAAAACCAACAAACTAAGATTTCAAGTACAAAAAATGTAAACAACTAGTGTCACATTCTCATCAATTCATATTCAGATTTATGATTTTCATTTCACTTTTGCAAAGTGTTGTTTTTGTCTCACCCCAGAAGTGACATGTTCTTCTTTTCACTCTGTTGGCCTATCAGTCAGACGTCACCAGGTGCTGACAGGGTTAATGAACTGCACCGCAGCACTGAAGAGGTTCCTTAAAAATCTGGGTGCTTGCTCACATACACCCTTCACCAGGGTGAGAGTGAGAGCTATGAGCACTCGCTCCTGAGGTAGATACTCCAGACCTACACCCTGCCTCATCACCCGCTCCACCTCTGCAGACAGAAGACTTTTCCAATCCTGCAAATACAAAGACCAAAAACAACAAAAAGTCATTTTTTTTCTCTTGATGCTTTTGCATGCGATTGGATTCCAAACTTGCGAGGATCATTGAGAAACTATTGTGAGGTCCCTACTATTAAATAACTGAAAAAACAACTGAGACCTAAATAAGTAACAGTAATGTCCACCAACTTCAAGCTCCCAAGGTGTCTGTGCAGAAGATTTCTGGCCCTTCAACAAATGTATATAGTGACCCCTGGTCCAAGTGAGTTTTTATATTTGACACAATTGCCATGCATTTTATTTTTTGTGAAATCTAAGACTAAAAGTATTATTATTGCTTTTAACCCATCACCTCAAAAGTAGAAAAACAAATTAGTTTAATCCCCAAAATGACAATGACAATGGTCAGGGGCACTCATCCACTATTTTTATTTTTTGGAAGTTAAAGTAGTAATAGTTATAGAAGTAATGGTGTAAGTAAATAAAGGTAATTTATTTACAAATAAATGTTATATCATGTAAAGAATCATTATTAATTACTAACAGGAATCTCACCTCGGAGGGAGAGGAAGATATGTTCTTTTTCAGGTTCCTAGTTGCCTGGGCCACAATTCTGTGTTCAATCAGCTCTGCAATTTGTCTGAGCTCTCCAGCAACTTGCTGAATATTTCCAGCAACATCATGATTCCCTACCAGAAGAAAAACAAATTCAGATAGAAAATGTGAACAACTATGAACATGTCAGGTTATTTTCCTTACCAAAATATGGAAATAAATGTGTGTTAAAATAAATGAACACATTCACTTTCACTGCTACAGACGTATCTTATGTAAGAAAACACTGATTTTAGCTGACACAGTTTTCACAATTTTCTTCACACATGCACAAAAAGTCTGTTTATAATTTAAAAGCTATGGAGCAACAACTTTTGGTTGCAGACCTTTTCAGAGTATACCTTTGGCCTCCACCTGCCTCTTGATTCACAAACTCGTTTTCAGTTTTGCTTCTACACTTATTTCTTCTGTCAACTGCAGATCCTCAACATTACAGGTTCTTTCCCAACTCAACTGTACTCACACCACAGATTGCAGTAAATTATTAGAATTATTACATTTGCAAAAATATAAGGCTCAGAGTTGTTAGCTTATGTTGTAAGCTACTCCATCCTGAACCCACCTGTCGTTCTGACAGAACACCTAACTGACATCTTTCCACAGGCTTAAATAACTGCAACAACTTGAAATACCTACTTTAACTTAGGAAAAAGCCTGCTGACACTTTTATGTTTATTTATTCTAACTAATTCATTTTTTTAAACAAAAAGTAGCAACATTAGGCTCTTTAAATTTACCATTAAATGTCATCACACAGTAACGGTCCTCATGTCCTCTTTTCATGTACACACACACACTTCCTCCTGACTTTCTGTTGCTAACGCAGACAGCAACACTGTCTGCTAGAGATTTCTTCCTGTTGTAAAGGGAGTTTTTTTCTCTCCCCATCGTTGCTCAGCGTGTGATCTATTGTGAATTTGGCTTATTTTGAACTTAACTAATACTGCACTGGATCTCTTTAATATAAATTGTACTTCTCAGCATTTAAAAAAAACTTAACTATTTAAATGTGACATTGTCGATTCCATAGCATGTTAGCAAAATTCAAGGCTCCTCTTTCGGTTACTCACCGGGCCACTGCACATTGACTATGGGCTCAATGTCTATCGGTGGGATAGGCATTGACAGGTGACCGTCGGTTTCTAAGTCACCATCTCTCCCCGGGTCGACCCAGTCCCCGTTGCAGTTGATGTCCTGGACCGGCTTGCATATCTCCTCCAGAGAAATTATCTCCTTTCTGTACTCAGTGTTTTGACAGTCTGCATAAAGAAATGCAAAAGCGACCAGGGTGGTGTTCTGGCTAACAGCCATGCTCTTCAGCTCATCCATGGACGGACACTCTCCACCTTCAGATTGAAAGTAAAGTGACAAAGTGATATTTTTACATTAAAATCAAGTTAAAATATTAACAGAAATATGTACCCGGATGTACCCCATCACGTATGACGAATAACGTACAAATCTGCATACCTTAATATCAGCAGCCAAACTTTATGACTTTGGTTAAACTTACGTTTATGTAGCGGTACGAGCGAAGTTAAGCTAACGCTAACTATTACATTCGCTCATCACTTTAACGGTGAATTTAAAAAAATGCAGTAAAGTTTGAAAAAACATGATACTTACAGTCGCTTTGTCTGCCGCGGTTAGTCACTCCATCCACTTTAAAGTGTATATATATATATATATATATATATATATAAGTGAGGTCTCGCAAATCAACGTGCACGGAGCGGATAAACAACACAAACAATAGCACGAGTGCATCCACTTGTGTGTCGGAATTTAGTGGGCTGGACCTTAAGTCCCTGTGACGCGTCAAAAAACAAACAAACAAAAAAAAACTATCGCAATATTTAATGCTAATGCTGGCTCCTGTCGGTTAAAAAACAAAACAAAAACACGGGGCATGTTAAAATACACAAAGAAGAGGGTAGTAACAATCGCGAGGTAAAACAAAAAATGAATAAATGTATTACATTATATACACCAGAAATTTACATGACTTCTAACGTAACCAAGATATATTTGATGAAAATGTATTACAATTGTAATAACATTATAGGAATTGTTTGTGTACGGAGAAAACCCGTAAGATTGAAGTCGTTTTCTGATGAGTTTCCATTCAGATACCCAGTCTTCCTTGTAGCTAAGATAGATAAGAAAACCTCAGGGCTGGAAAGTCCCTGAAACAACAGCATGTTTTTGTCCCTGTGTTCTTGCACTACACGACAAGGCCTGCATAGTCATTTGAAATTTAAAAAAAAAAAAAATAAACCCAAGACAAGATGATAACATTTTATTAAGATTAAAAAAAAACAAGGCATTCTTTTGGATACGTTAGTCCCAAAAGATCAAATTAGGTTGTCATTTCAAGCATCCATTAGGCAAATATTCCCCAGTCATCGTCTGGGCCTCAAATTGTGGCATCAGACACCGTATCCAGATACGTCACAACTTATGGATCGTGCTGTGCTCCTGCCAACAAGCCTTTTCCCCTTTCTTGGTACAGACCCCATCTTCACAGCAGGTTTCAAGCCAACAGGAAGGTTCTGTTTAGGCGACAGTGCTGCCTGTCGAGCCTGCTGGAGCTCTCTGAAAGATTGATTTAAATATATAAAGCACACAACACAAAACTAAAAACAAAGTTACACTTTAAATTAAACTGCTACATAAAAAAAGACAGTCGTGCATGATTGCACGTCAGACATCAACATGTTAATGATTAAATAATTGCACCACCTCCTGGTCATACTTGTGCATACTTATCTCTGAAGTCACGTCTAAAAAACGTCTTAACCTACCCTACTCTAACTCTGTTTGTCAATATAAACTTTAAGAAAAAAATTTGTAGATACTGGATTCTTCAGATGCAAAAAATATCAAATGTAAAACAATAAATGTAATAAATATTAAAATTAGCTCCCAAAAAAATAATAAGGTGTTGGATTGCCTCTGTCCCACTTAACTGGTGTTAATCAGCTTTAATTTTCTTTCATTAACTATCCTTACTTTTCAAGCATCGCAGTCCTGAACTTCTCCACGTTGAGCTCTTTGCGGAGTTGAGCAGCTACACGACTGGTTCTCTCCTCCTTCAACACTGGGTGTTTGCAGAGCTCTCTGGCAGAAGGACGCTTTCCGGGGTCAGGATCCAATAACAGCTTGCAAAATATTGGCCAAAAAAAAAAGCATCATTACTTCCAAGCATTTATGTTCTAATCAGAGGAAGGAATTTCTTAAGAACATAGGATAGTAGAATAAACAAATGTTGTCCCCTTTAATGAAGAAAATGAAGTATGGTCATACACAGGTATGTCTATTTTGTACTTTTTTTTAAAAAAATCAATCTATAATGAACCCAATAGGTGGCAGTGATGTACAGAACGACCACTTAAGGTAAGTAAAAACAACGAGGGTACATGCTTACCAGGATTATTTTTAATTTCATTTGAAGAAGAGCAAAATTCTACCAATTCAATTTGTGAAATGCTTATGGTCAACTAGGCCAGAAAACCTGTAAAACAGCACTAATCTCATGGGGCAGAGCATAACAACAGCGCTCATTATCTGCCAGGGTGTAAACATTAAGCAAATGCGTTTGTCAATGGAAGACTTGTAATTGCTACACGTGGAGGTTCAAATACATTCTCATAAAAATGTACCTGAATTAGGCTTCTAAATGGAGGTGGGAGCTCATGTGGCAGCTCGGGGAACATGCCCTCTCTAAGGCTGTGCCACTGGTCTCCATTTAAAGGCAGAGGGGGCGCCCCAGCTGCTAGAACCACAGTGAGGCCTAGAGCAAAGACATCTGCTTTGGGAAGGTGACTGTAATCCTGCAGAGAAAAGAGACTGCTTACAAGGAGGCGAGGCAAAAAGCCAGTCACCTGTTTGAAAATTCTTTGCTAGTATTGTGATTACAAGTAAATGATAATATGTCTTTACTTCATGTAGGATCTCCAAGGCCAAAAAGCGACTATCCCCTTCCTCAACCTGGGGATCGTTGGCTGAAGTCACATGGCCAAGATCCCCTACGAAAACGAGATTTACAGCTTCCACAAAAATAGAAAGTTTAAAGTGTAAGTGTATTAAAAATCCAATTTTATACCAATCTTGTAAATGACTCCCCCGGAAGTCTTCTTGTCTTCCTCATCGTCACTGTCCCTCTCAGCAGGGGAATTTGAGGAGAGGGACTGACAAATGAATATATTACCTACAATTGAGGTTTAATATCTTTAAAGTGCAAGATTTAAAAACAACACAACAAGAAAAGCAGCCTGAAAACTACTGTAAAACATACTTGGTTTGATATCCAAGTGTACCAAGCCTGAACTGTGAATGTATTTCAGACCCATGGACACTTGTAAAAGGAGATCTTTTAGTTCTGCCACTGAAAACTGCTCACACAGCTCCTGTTTCTTCACCATGGCATCACTGAGACTTCCACCTGACTCAACAGAGACACAGACACACACAGCTTAGTGTAGGTCTTGAACACTGTTGAGAGTAATGTGAAACTTACCATCACAATATTCATTTTGAATGATCATGTGATCTTCCTCTGCCCATGCTGAATAATAGCGAACAACGTGTGGGTGTAGCCCCAGAACGGCGTGTGCATATACTTCCTTTAAAGCCAGGTGTCTAAAAGGACAGTAAAAAGAAAAAAAAAAAGTTGTCAAGACATTTATGAAATCCTTTGTGTCAAATATTTTGTATCTTGTAGACTGTGACGTGTTTCTGACTCACTCATTGGCAGAGCCTGCAAGGGGACGCCGTGAGCGTTTTATGGCGTACAAGCAGCCATCCAGCCTCTTCAGACACTTATAAACTGCCCCAAATTCACCCACACCAATGCACTCCAGCTCCAGGAACTCACTCTCATAGCGTGACAACATGAAGGACTGGACGGCTCTTTTCTGCCAAATTAACAGACTGTGAGCCTTGTGGTATACACAGACACCATCAGATCGTGCATCACAGCATTGATAACAGCCAAGACAGCCAACGCTTTTCTTTGTCCAGACCAAATAAGGTAACACTTCCACAACAGAAGTGTGACGAATCAAAGAGTTCTTTTGAAAATCCTTAAAGAGATATTCCAGAAATAGGACTGGCAGCATTAAATTTTTGACAGAACTGTGTGGAGGCAACCACACAGGACAAAGCCTGCTGATGAAATCAGAGAGGGAGATCAGATTAATCAGAGAACGTGAATAAATATAACTTACCTTTCGTGGGAGAAAAGAGTCATCATCCTCCTCAGATGACGTCAAGCTGTGTTTCAACCTGTAACATAAAAAAAAAATGCCTTCAGCCATTCTTTTTCACTTAGAGCAGCCCAGCCAGCCCAAACCATGAAAACAGATTTTCAGTGAGTGATTTTTTTTCAGTGAGTGTTTATATTCACAACATGCTCTTGCCCTAGTTTTTTTTTTTAAAAGGTATTGCAAAGAAACAAGCCGATTCTTGACACATTAAACATGTGTTTAATAGGGCTGTTGTTCCCTATGACATGGCTAAAAAGGTCCAGCGGTCTGACTGAGCTGTGCAGCCAGGTGAAGCATCACCATGGCAACCCCATAGTTTAAAACCTCAGTGTTAGCACACAATTTTACAATAAACAAATCCCACTGTTTTTCACAATGTGTTGTGTGAAAAATGGTCCTGTTTAGTTGAACACACTGATATCCTCACAGGAATAAACACTTTTCTCAAGTTTTTTCACACAGACTAACAGAAACTAATTATTAGCAGTAAATAAATTATTTTCAGACAAATTAAGTGAAATTGGATAATTTTACAATTGTACACCTGTCACTGCACACCAATGTAGCACTGTGGTCAAGAATTACTGACCTAGATGTTTTATTAAAAAAATGTTAGGGTTTTGTAAATTTTTGGCTCTTTTGGTATTATATGTGCCACTAAAGAAGGTTAAAATACTGTACATGTTTAACTAATATTGTTAAAAGTTGGTAAATTCTATTATAAACATTTTGTCAAAACCAACACACAACAAAGAGTATGTACATTTATACAACTAAAATCTACAATATCATTGGTTACCTGCGTCCACAGTCATCATCATCACTCCCAAAACTGTTCCTCCACTGCTCACTATTTTTGCGTACGGTGTCAGAGGTAAAAGGATTCACGTTGACAGAGGGCGCTCTGGAGACATTTACCACAGTTGAGTCAGAATGTGGCGTCCTGCGCTTGCAACTGACCTTTGAGCTGGAGCATGGCTGGGACGACTTAGATATCAAACTCTACAGTGAATAATACAAGAGAAATGCAGTGAGGTCTTGCAAATGAACTTGATTTGGTTTTTAATTTTTTATCATACTCCACCTTAGGGGTACTGGGAGAATCACAAAGCCTCAGTTTCCTCAGGAAGGCATAGGGTATAGGGCTGGTGCATTGTGACGGTGAGGACACAGTGCTGTTCCTGCTGCGGTGGCGCTGTACCCTTGGCGTTCTGCAAGCAGGACTGGGAGATCTGAGTCTAGGACTTGGTATTCTGGAGGCACATTCATCAGAACTGTTGTCACTGCTGTTGCCCTCCTCTCCACAGCTGGTGAAGTCCAGCTGCTGGCTGATCCCATCAAACAACATTATAGCTGCCTGTGGCCTGTCATTTGATAAAGACTTCTATTAAAATGTTTAAACCTTTGAGGTTTGAGGACACAGACAAATGGTTCATATAATTGACCATTTATGTAAACTGCATTTAAAAATAATTATTTAAATACTGTATTGTTATGCTTCATTTGGTGTTATATATTTACATCTAATGACGGACAACAAAGAAAGCTGCACCAACGAGCCTCCCTAATGTCATGCCTGTTAATAATGTCAACACGTGTTTCACACCGGCGCCAACAACACTTAAACGTATGTTTAACATGCGTACTCACGAATAAACAGACGCTCCTGCACGCTCAAACCTCGCGCCCTGTGTCTAACTGACTTCCTGTTTAAATCAACTACGACGTCAGCCGTAACATGTCGCAAAGGCGATTGGTTTAAAGCTTCCCGTAAGACGCACCTGACTTTCACGTGACAGATAATTGCGCGAAGTCAATTTAGGTTCAAACAAATAACGGTAATAAAGGCAATTGGCAAAAGGTTTGACAAAAGCTGTAAAGCACTTCTATGTAGTTTTATGTGAAGGCTAATTAATACACATAAATAAAAAAACTGTTCAAGAAAGAAAACCTATATTGTCACACACAAATACACACTTACATACATACATATATGAATTCATGGGTTCACTGTCTCCACTCTCTTCCATGCTTTTTTGTAACATTGACCTCTCTCTGTCCCTCTTTATTTTATCTACATTCACTATTTTGCAAACTAACTTTTAATAACATCTACCAGTGTGTCCCTGGGATTTCTTTCTGTACTTCAGTGGTTCAAAAACATACAGGAACAGATTAGCTGTTCACTCTAAATTAGCTATGAATGAATGACCTTGTGGACGGTTGTTTACCTCTTTATGTGGCCCTGTGACAGACTGTAACCCAGGGAGACCCTCCCTTCACCTTATGACTGCTTGGAATTACTGGAGCTCCCTTGAACCCCCTGCTGGGGGCCCTGAAAACTGTTTGAAAAGAATAATCAAAGAAAATAAGATGAATAAGTAAGATTTAACTGCGTATTTCAACAGGGAACTTAAGTACCACAGAATGTACTTTTTTTTTGGTTTGAGAACCCCAATCTATGTGATATGTAATTTGCATCTTTAGTTAGAATATTTACACTTAGTAAAACTACTTTTGTTCCATCTTTGTACTAAGTCTGCATTGGCCAAATTATGCTATAGTTAATATATATTTAATTAAAGAGCCCGAGAAACGAATAATCGATTCCAATAGTACACAATATGACTCGTGGATCTTGGTTAAGGTTTTTTTTTAAATGTTTTGTTTTATAATATCAGGTTCAGGTCAGTATGGAGTATAGGTGACATGGTCTGGATGTATGCAAGTCATGTCATTCAGTTTAAGGTATAAAATATGATTTTGCGGTAGCGCCATATAAGGGCTTGGCAAAAAGCCTCTAATCCAAATCAGGCCAGTGCATGAAATAGTAATGTGTAGACACGTGGGCGGAAGTGAGCGACGTCATCAAAACAGTGAGACAGGAGGAGAAAAACAGCTTTCCCGTGGATGTGACACGCTTACAGATACTCAGAAAACAAGCAGAGAGCTCAGAAAACCATGTTCTAGCAGCACAAGTCCTGGACTGTTTAACTCTTTTTAGCCGGACACCGAACCTTGTGTGTTGTTTGTACCCCTCCCTGTGTCCTCGCAGGCGGCAGCGCCATGGTGGAGAAGTCGGATCGAGCACCACTGCTGGACTGGGAGGAGATCCCACCGTCAGATCCGAACCAGGCGGCTCCGCCACCACCTCTGGCCGCGGACACTGTGGTTGGTACCACTGCCGTCACCAGCAGCACCTGCAGTCCGTGCAGGAATGTAACAGCTGATGTTGGCAGCGGAGTCGGAAGCTCGGCCCGTCCCTGGACAGACCTCCGTGGACAGGGCTGGACTCGGCCGGAGGCTGTGGGGATAGACCGTCACGTTCCTTACCACGGCAGCCTGTCAGCGAGAGATCAGTGGGCAGAAAAAGATCAGATTGTGGCTGTGTTTGTAGTTACCTTTGACCCGAGATCAGGTGAGCAACAACAGCAGGTAACAAGATTCTGAAATTGTCTTTCAGACTTTGGCTGAAATACATGTTTGCATGCACTTGTAAAGATTTGTTTTGTTTTTCTTTTAATACTGTTTATTCCGAATATGCAAATAGTACAATGCTTACCCATGTCTACTCAAATTATTTGCACAACATAATATAGAAATGAAATTGAGGAAGCAAAGTAATGAGACAGAATAAAGAAATAAATGACTATTCGAAAGTATTCGAAAAGAAGTGAGAAAGAAGCATAGCATTGTAACCACATTACTGTTATCACAGGATAAATAGCCTCGGGACAAGGAAAAATTAGATTGCATAAGTTCGATTAATATCGCTAATTGCACCTAAAACGTCCGTGGTTATTTGTAAACGTCATAACTGGGAGCGTGGATCTCTTAAGTCAATATAATTTAAATCCTCCGCGGTGGCAATACAGTAAACAATGATAATTCTGGTCAGGATAATTGTAAAATTCTCATCTCAATCGGCAACATATGTGAGCCCAGGTGTCTATGACTAGTAGAGCACTAAGTAACCCAACAGTTAATCATAGGTTTTTAAAAAAAGTGAAACTAGAAGCTAGGTCCACTCCAGTGGCTAATGAGTAATGAAAATCATGTTGTAATGTAGTTTAGGTCATCTAGTTTGTTATTTGGAATATCAAAAGTGACTTGTTAGGAGTAAAAAAAGGGACACAATATGCAATGATGAGACAACTGTTACTTTCTTTAGGCAACCGCAGCAAAACTTCTCTCTCACTTCTCTTTCTTGTATGTAATTCTCAGGGAACTTCATTTCACTTCTCTTTCTTGTATGTAATTCTCTTTTCTGGCATTTAATTCACCCTCATGAGTGAATAAAATGTAAGAATATCGTCAACTTATTAAAACAAATATAAATTTGCATTAATGCTGACCTCAGTCAAACACAACACACAACACAAAACAGCATTGGACTGGGAGTGCTTCTGCTTTGTATGGGAGAGAACTGTAGCTTAGTCAGCACTTTTCAATTCTTTCCCATGACCTGTCACTGTAAAACTGGCTTTAAAGGAAGTAAAGAAGGCAAAATACCCGACTGATACTGTATGTGTGTGTGTGTGTGTGTATGACAGGGAACATAATAGAGTGGTGCCTGCCTCATGACATCAATCTTGATGGAGTTGAATTCAAGTCAATGGCCAGTGGTTCCCATCGGGTCACCAGTGACTTCATGTGAGATGACATCCAGACAAATAGTTCTGCACTGATACTGTCAGATGGCTGTCACAGTCATTCACTCTTGCTCTCTAATATGTGTTATTAGATATTTCCGTAAAGGCCCTTTCTTTGGCTTAGCCTGTTTTGCTAACATGCCTGTGGAGAGTGAACTGGAGCGAGGGGCGAGGATGAAGTCTGTGGGAATTCTCTCTCCGTCATACACACTGCTTTACCGCTACATGCACTTCCTGGAGAACCAAGTCAGGTAAGAGAGCCGTTAGTGCACTGTCAGTCTTTTCTTCACATTTTATTTTACAGTAAAGCTAATCTGCCTCACCTGTGTGTCTGACTAACAGGTTTTCTGTATGCTTGCCACATCGAATATACAGGAACTCAGATCCAAATTCAAGTTCAAAATCCTTGCATATGCAGGCTTTGTGTGAAGTGTCAGCACAAAAGTAGAGCATACCACGATGTAGTCTCTCCCTGCTTGATCTAATATTGCCAAATCTAACTCTGTAAATGTAAAGGTTATATTTGTTTCATGTGGACACAAAAAAACAACCATATTAAACATTAATATGACTAAAAAAGTTTAAAAAAAAAAGAAATAAAATGACTAGGTGATCATAGGCCAGTAAAAGAAATGACATAATGTACAGTTGAGTCTAAAGGTATGACTCCCAAGTACAAATGGATAGTTTAATATTATTAGGAGTTTACCGGTATTTACATTTGGGAATAAAAACCTCTAAGGTCCAGAGGGGAATGAATGACAGCATGATTATTAGTTTAGATGGATAGACATTGTATGTCTATTGTATGGTAAATGTAAAGGCCCCAAAGTGGTGCCCTGGGGAATCTCATAGGTAAGAGCAATTATAAATACTACCAAAGAGTGCTCACCTAAATAAACTGTGCCTTAAAGCTTGTAGTACCAACAAATAAACCCAGAACCTTGTTAATGCACTTTGTACTGTGTAGTCCTAAAACAGTCCTCCCTGTCTTTGTACACAGGCACCAGTTACAGTGTCCAGGTCAATATTCTCCACTGGAGGCCTTCTATGAGGACAAAAAGGCTGTCCTTCAACCTTCAGGGAATAGCGTGGTCTCTGCCTGCCCCACCTGGAGCGTTACCAACATTAACCGCTGCATGCATCCAGAAATGAAGGTCTATAATCATTTCCATGTTGGTGTGTGTTCGCTCATTGTTGAGTTCTACATGAATATGTCATTAAAGCCACGTCTGTGCCCCCTGCAGATCACCCACCCAGCTGGCTGCATGTCACAGTTCATCCAGTTTTTCGGGGAACAGATTATGGTTCTGTGGAAGTTTGCCTTGCTGAGGAAACGCCTTCTAATCTTCTCCCCTCCACCTGTAGGTGTGGTCTGCTACAGAGGTGAGCAGCTCAAACATAAGCTTACGCACACACACAAAGTCAAATTTTCACAACTGCAAAAACAAATTTGACCTACCGATATATATTTTTATGAATGGAAAAGAACTACATTGAATAAAGGAAAAGGAAACAAACACTAAACCAAAATCGGTTAAAGAATTTGTCAGACTTTTTTTACTTGATGTGTGGAAGAGATTACTTTTCCTTAGTGGTGTGATTAAAATGCTGAGCAGTTTTTCTTCCCATCTCCATGGAAAGGTTTAATAATGCGCCTTGTTCTGTTTTAGTGTACTGCTGTTGCTGCCTGGCCAACGTGTCTCTGCCTGGAATCGGTTCCTCTGTGCCCGAGTTACGACCTTTCTTCTACATCAACGTAGCAGACATTAATGTCCTGGCAACAGAAGTGTCATATATAGCCTGTGAGTGGAGCTGGTCCTTAAAAGATTTATGGAATACATTTGGTAAAATATGGAATTTAATGATTTTGTATATATACTGTAGGCCTAACTATTTCAAAACATTTTACAGGTACTACAGAGAAGATCTTTGAGGAGAAGAAGGATTTGTACGATGTCTACATTGACAACCAGAATGTGAAAACACACAGGAGCCATTTGCAGTCAATGCTGCGTCTCAATGCAGCTGATAAGGAAAGGTACAGGAAACTGACGGAACAAAGGTACAGTTTAACTTTACGTAGGACGCTACTGAAATATTGTAAAATAAACTGTATTAAACTCTAATAGAAACACAAATTCTCACTTTAGATTGTAGTGCTGTGATGGTATTTAGACTAGAATAACATTACATAAACATTAATGTTCCATAATTATGGGTAATAATGTGTTTTCGGCAGACAATTGCTGCTGTACTCTCAGGAGGTGGATGGAGACTGCACATCAAGTGAAGAGGATCTCTTCAATTTGTGAGTCACTGACACATGTTCAACCACTTTACTAATGGAAGAAGAACTGTTTTTGAAGAGAGAATTACTGTTTCATTATTTTTAGGATCATACTATGACCCCATTGTGATGCACGTCTCTTTAACACTGTTACAGGTTCTTCATGGAGCTAAACAACCACATCTTCCAGACTTTGTCTGAGATAGCTGGTAGTGCTGAACCCACCCTCACCACTGACCACGTGAGAGCCATGGGGCTGGATCCCCAGGCTGACCGCTCCTTCCTGGTCAACCTGCTGGATGTGTATGGTTTTAACATCACCATGGTCATTGACAACTTGTGTTGCACCTGAGCCCCTTCTGTCCCCCTCTCTCTGTCTGGGAAGGTCCACATGCCACCGGAGTCCACGTGCCTTTAAGGCCTTGACACACCAAAACACTGAAGACACTGCCTCCGCTCTCAGACCTCGCCTGTTATCTGCTGTCCCCTTCTGGGTGTGCATTTCTACTCTGTTGGTCCATCTGACCTGTGGAGGTCTTTTTCCATCCATTGTGGATAAGGAGGAAACTCAACACTGTTGTATCCTGGCGTATAAACTCCTGCTGAGCAGATATGACGCTTGGATCAGACCAGCCCTGTGACTGTACGCATCCTACATCACTCTGTACGCGGTCTGTCAGATAATGCTGATTTGTCTTTCTTTCTGCTTATCTGACTTGGATTTCCACTTAAATTGTCAGAGTACATAAGACACACCGAATGTAAAGGTTGTTGATTAGGTGCAAAGAGATGTTTAAATAATTTGGAAAGGATTTTAATCATTGAAATCTGTTTTGGCATTTGAATTGGCTATTGTTAAAAAAGTGTAGGCTGCACTCAACCTCCCTTATGTAATCAGAAGAAGGTGTTCAAAAATAATTGTCACGCTTCAATATGTCTGCTATTAGAAATAGAGTTTTCTGCCCTTAAAAAGCTAAAATTAATGTTATGAATCTGGCCAAGTGGTAACCATTAAATGTACATTAATCCTCTCACTGAGATTCTATCTTCTCTTACACGTCAAAGGCTATGAGGAGAATAACGCTGCGTTTCCTATGCCTCATAATATTGAGGAAAAATTCCATTATATCTGTTAAAACCAGAGTTGATGCATTCCAGTTGCTATAGTCAGAAAACACCTCTATGAAAGCAATAGTGTTTTGCAGTTGTTTGCTACAATTATTGCCAGCTATAAAACTATAAAACTATAAAGCTATAAAGTATGAACCTCAAGATAAAAGATGAAACAAAACAGAAATAACCATGGTTTGAATAATAGGCAGTGATTCCGGCTTTGGAATCAGCCTTCTCTGAGCTGAAAGGTGTACTGTAGAAATACCACGTCATGACGTCTGCCTTTTGTCATTCATGGCAGATACCACTTAGAAACATGTAAATGGACACACAGCAAAAAAGTGTTTTAAAAACCCTGTTCAATTCAGTGTACTTTAAGCACATGTTGCTGTTATAGTGTATCTGTTGCATTGCAGTTTAGGTGTAGGTAAAAGCTGACTTCACTGATACTGTATAGTGCTCCTGTAGGCCAATGTCTTATCTGTTGTAATGGTAAGTGAACATAACTGTAATAACTTTAACCAGTGGTTCTTGAAGTTTTTCTGCAGCGCCCCCTTTTGTGGGTAGAACTAATGTCAAACATCTGCTGTTTTTTATTGAACATTTAATAAAATTACAAATCAGTAATTTTCCCACCGTGGGACATTTAAAGAAAAGCGTTTTCCCTGCTGCACCTCTCTGCAATAGGTGCTACCTAAGGGGGACCTGCCCCGTACTTTGAGAACCACTGACTTGACTCAATAACATAGTGTTTAAAGCTATGTTTACTACCTAATGCCTGAGCCAGCAGAGGTTGTGTGGAGGGTGAAAAAGTTTTTTGCGATTGTGAACGTGTCGTTTGTTGTAACACTGTATACAGTTCCCAGAGGCTGAATTATTATTTCTCTCATCAGATCCTGTTAAAGAGAGTGTCTGTAGTTGATAGTTTACTTATTGGACAGCTATAAACGATCCGCTCCACTCCACTCGCTCGTGTCTTAGACAAAGAATCCTTTGTTGTTTTAGATCAGCTAATGCCACATTTGGAGCAGGGTTGGAGTTTTTAACTCCTCCTCTGCAGTAAATGTCACAGGAAGAGCCCCGGTGTGTTTTAACTGAAGCTCTGCCTCCTTTTATTACAGTCCCACTCAGTGTATCCTGTGGAGATGGTCCAACACTGTTTTTTTAATAGTTTGTGTTGAAGTTTGTCATGTTGCCTATCAAAGTGATTATTTGTTCCATATTGGAACAACAAAGCCTCGAGTTATTTTTTTATTATTGGTCCCCCAATGACCAGGTATTTTTTAATTATAAATATGTCCTCATCACCATCGTCCTTGTCCTCAGTACTGTGTGCGTTGAGTAAATTCCAAATCTTATTATGGTCATTTCATAACTGTCCTCCAGGATCCCTAAGGATCAGATATGAAATAAGTGTGTTTACAGTATGGTGGAACTGCAAGGTTTTATTGTAATTTGAAATGGGACCTCAAGAAAATGTGAGTTTTCTCTCCTAGTAATTTGAGACAGCAATCACTCATTGCTGTTTGTACAACTGCGTTATTTGCTAAAAGATTAGGCTTAAGCACAGCTGTGTGACCTTAGTGTCACTGCTTGTTAGAAGACCTGTGTTTGCGCCTCTGACACTGTGTGTACTTTTTAGGTGTATGTTAAATGTAATGTAGAATGTACACAACACACAGCACTGTATAAAATGCCTTCTTTGTATAGTCCTTCAGAGATGTGCACTTAGCAATACAAATGGCACATCTGAGCAGTGTGTTTTTTTTCTAGTGTAATGCAATTCGAGGATAATCAAAGACGACTAGTTGTGTCTTCATCATTTACTAATCTGATAAACTGTTAGAGCCGTCGGCAATGTAATCATGAATTCTAAAGCATGAGCAAACACTGACATTAACGTACTGCCATTATAAAAGACAACATCACAGACATCTGCTGTTGAATCACCTCCTGTTTCTGTGTTTCTTTAACTTAATACTCCTACATGCTTCCTTTCTATTATAATGGTTTCTGTTACAATAGACAATCAGAGCTCAGGGAAAGTATTCGCTATCGTTTTTACTCATTTTTTACTTCTTGGTCTCAAACCCAACACATACAGATGAACATGAAAAAACTTAGCTTTGCATTGAACTCCAATTTACACAATGGAGTACAGAGTCCTGCAGGAAGACAAGAGATAAATATGTTACAAGCCCAGAGTAAGACCTGGCTCCTTTTACATGGTATTGAATATACTAGTCTCATTACTGGTTAAAAAAACACATGACGTTAAAATTCATCATAAACAAAAACTCAGTTTCTTGGAAATTCTGGATCTAATGATGTTTTTCGAAGTGTGTTTAGTTGTCATAACCAAAATAACCCGTCATTTAAGTGATTTTACCAGTTTTGTTTTTTCATTACTGCATCAATGACTGGAGCTGCTGCCTGCGCTCTGCAGTGATGAAAAAGCGAAGTTTCCGTGGCAACAGTCTTATCTCCACAGGCATCGCCTCATACTCCTCATTGTCAATGTTGAAGAATCCACCAGAATTCTAGATCAAAAGACAGTGTTAAAAACAACCGATACAGACTGGTAATATAAAACAATAAAAGAAAAACAACTTAAAAGCGTTTTTACTTCTGGTAGCTGCAGCCGACACGCACTGGCTTCAAATTGGGTGGAGTTTTTAGTGAAAACAGATGGGTCTTCTACTTTGTCATTCCTACAAAGAAAAACATGAAATTCTTAAACTCACTTTTCACATTTGTATAAAAAGTTTTGCAAAATCTCTATTTATTCACAAAAGTCATTTGTTTGACACAGTCATGGTATATAAAAACTACTGACCCAACAGTGATGAACTCTCCCACAGTGAAGTCTCCAGGCTCTGCACACACGACCAGGGAGTCGTTTATTCGCTGCAAATTTAGATACATAGCAAGTGAATTATATTAAAAAAACATTTTTCTTTAAATATTCAGTTGTTAGTGCTAAGTTTAATGGTAATTGTTTATTCCAACACCGACCCTCTCCACTGGGTTTTTGTTGTGGGTTTGAACAAACAGCTCCAATGTTGACAGTTGCTTCTCCTCCCATTTTTCTGGCTCCTCCACTTTAGGGGGCTCTGGCAAAACACACGTTAACAGAAAAATGATTTTTCAAGTCTTCTTTAGCTGGGACTCAATTTCTACAATTGCACTAACTCACCTTCAACAGGTGGGGACCAATAGTTTTTAAGTCTCCGCATGATATGGTATAGCACATTTGGCCTTGGGGGCTTCTGTAGAGGGAGGTCTGGGGGCCGAAGATTGGGAGCCAGGCAGGACACAGAGATATCCCTTACCAAGGGCCATTCCTAAAAGATATTTTGGGACAATGTCAAATTGGATTACATAGCAAGCCTACTGCAATACATAGAAATGATAATACACAAGGTGTTTAGAGAAAAATAATGAATAAATTATCAATTATCAAAACCAAACAACCTTGCCATTGACTTGCTCCCACTGTTGCCCCTCCCCCTTTTTTATTACTTACCCTTAAAGTACTGAACCAATGAGCAGCATTTGTTTTCATTGGTCCAAGATACCAGTATCTGATGAGAAATCATCAAAGTTAGTTCCGACTTTTGTAGTGTTGGCATTTTTTAAACTAATAATAATAATAATCATACTTGCTGAGTTTTGCAGCCACATCTCTGAAAGCTCCCCATCGCAATCCCATTAGAGCGAAGACTGGCTGCTCTTTCTCCCCCTTAATAAACACAAGAACAAAGTAATACAAAAGGTCCTGGTTAGCTTTCTACTGTACAAACAGAAATATTATTCTAAAAACACATTAATCAGACACTGTTTAAAGTATCTTTATCTAATGGACGTTATGGTGTTAACAAATCCAGCTCCTTACGTTAATTTGTAGTACATCCAGTGGTACAGTGTCTCCCTTCAGAATAGTCAGAGTAGCAGATGTAATGTCTCTGCAAAATTTTAAAAGGATAGATATCAGTTTATTTATATATTAAACTGTATGAAAATGCACATTTTCACACAAAAACATAACGTAATTTAAGGTTGAACTTTATTGACTCCACACTGGCAGCTTTTTTGTGTTGCAGCAGCACAGGGGACAGAGGCAAGGACTGTACAATGAAGAGTTACGTACTTAACTTTGTTGTCACTGAGGAGGTGAAGACTTGGACTCAGGGAATTGTGGGAACCCAGTGGAATGAATCCAATTGGTATGTTACTGAATGTGTCCTTCATACAGAAAATATAAAAACAAGGACAAATCAAAATATTTTTATATCCAAATAAGGTGGCAATTACAACAAACGGATAAAATTATGATATTGCAGGTACCTGATCTGGCCTTCGCAGTAATCCTGTGATGACTTCCTGCAGCGTGCCATCCCCTCCAGCCACAATTAGCATGTCTGTCTGTTCCATGAACTCCATTAGCTTTTTTGCCTGACCCTCATAGTCTGTCTGTAGATGAGAAAACAATTAACTATTGAAGATTAAAGCATTTCAAACAAAGACAGAACCCATAAACTGACTCCAGAACACAGAGTTTATTCCTTAATATTGTACTTTGTGAGTAACTTCTTTAGAGTCATATACTTAGTTATAGTTTCAATTGTATGTGTATAGACTGTGAGAATGAGTACCTTTACAACCGTAATCTCAACTCCAGCAAGATGTAAAATGGGAGCAGCGTTATTTTCAAACAGGTTGTTGGCTTTTCTGGATGCAACACAGAAAATAATCTGTCATTTTCCCCTACATTAATGCTGTTGACATGTTTTAAGATTTGATTCCTTACCCGCTACAGGCAGCGGGATTCAATATTACAGTTGCCTTCCTCAGCCTCTCATTTGGTGCTATCTGTTGACGACCAAATTCCTATAGAGAATATAATGAGTGGGTAATTGACACGTTTTTTTCGCTGAAAAATTACAACAATAAACGATGTCTTACTCGGGCTAGCAGACACGCCTCTGTGCGCAGAACACTGTCACTGTTGTGGCAAAAGACACAAACGTGAAGACACATGGTGCATCTTTTTTTTTTTGACATTATTCTGAATGTGTATTATCAAAATTATACAATGGACACAAAATGATCCTACCAGTGTTTACCATACAGCCAGTAGCCTCCATACGACAAAACACACACAGCAAAAGTAGACTTCTTCCAATGATTTCGCAGAGTCCGAAAAACTTTCACAACTCGAGCCATTATTACTTTGAAATGTCTCTATTCTAATGTATTGCTACACCTACAGCTCCTGCAACCAGAAGCTATAAAAGACAGTATTGCTTTGCAGCGGTCACGACTCAACGCTGTCAAATTGGCATGGGTGTTTGGGTGTAACTTCAAAACCGTACGGACGGACACAGGGCAGAACCAAAAGCTAGTTCCGTGTATTGGCACCGAGGTTCAATATCGTTATATAAATTTTAATTGATTGAGATTAAATTTTAATAGCTATAAAATATCTAATATATTAAATTGAACGTTTGTATTAACAAACATGCCCATAATATGTTAAATTATGGGCTGTTAAAGGTACAATAATGTATTGCTTCATTGGTCCTAGGACCTCGCCTGAATAATTATACAGGATTTAAACTTTTTCATTTGTGATTAACATAATCTCTGATCATACAAATTTATTTCAAATTTTTGTTTTTCTCCAGAATTTACAATCCACATGTGAACGTGTATGTAAAACTCTTATATTTCACACAGGCAGCTTCTTTCGGTCTCACTGAGTGAGTGTATCATGGCGGCACAGATGGCGGTAAATTCGGGTATGAAACACGTTTTTTCATTCCGTTTCAAAATTGCGTTCATCTCAAATAATTGCTGTTAACTATTTCCATTGAAACCGGATATACACATACGTTGTGTCAGCTTTCTAAACAGACTGCATCAATTGTTATTGTAATGGTAATTTCAACTTCAGCCTGCGAATTGCTAAGCTAACATAGCCTGGTCTGCATATTTACTCTACGCTACTTCTTAAAAACATTGACAGACACGTTACGACTTGTTCAAGTTTTCTTGGTCAAAATAAACAGAATACGAATATTAATGTTTATCTAAATATAAAAGTAAGCACCTCACTTGTCCATATCATTACCACTACACACCCACTTTGAACCGAAATGCCATCTTATTTTCGTGTTTGGATAAGCACATGCTTATTTTCTGATTTATCGTGTGGTCCACAAAATATTAGAATCCGTACAATACAAAAAATGTGAGCATTTGGTTTGGCCGAAGACTTGAAATGACAACTATGGCTCGTTTCTGCCACTTAAAATATTAAAATAATGGTCACATTTAAGCTACTGCATTATATCGCCACATACACACACTGTAGATAATAGAACAAGATAACCAGTTTTAATTTCTTAAGTTGTCATATAGCTTTTTAAAATTGTTATATAATAATTATTTAAATATTGACACAATGGCAGTGTTAAAAGTTATGGTTTGTGTAGCTGTGTAAACAAAACTTTTAAATACATTTTTATCCAGGAGCCAGTCTGTGGCGGCCACTGAAGGAGCTCTGGGAGACGGTGGATGGAGCCTTGTTGAAGAGACAGTCAGAGAGTGTCCATCTTTTAGATTTGCAGCTCAAAAAGCATAAACCACACTTTTTGTCACTTTTTAAGAACCCGGTAAGATGTTGAATGTTGATAAGAACATTACCACGTTTGCATATCCAACATATTAACTTTACAATGCCGCGTTAACCTTTCTTGATGTTACATTGGGCTTCTACTAGGATCATGCCTTATATTCGCTCTACAAGTCTGGGTTTGTTGACATGATCATTTGTAATATTGCTTGACTATGATATACACCACCTTAAACACTTATTTATGTTTGGTAACTTTACCTCAATATTTAAACATCAAACTTTTAGTATTGAGTTTTGTATTGAGTTTTATTTTTTGGTTATGTAAAAATGAGTACCATCCAGGGACAATAGCAAAACAACTGAGGAAGACAGTTCAGCAAACATCTTCCGATTTGATTTAAGTTGCTATTTTAAGACTGTACTCTTAAGTTCCCCTTGTTTGTTTGTTTTTCAAGCCCAAAAGTGCTGAACAGAGGGAAAAAGTGCGCAAAGCCAGCACTGACGGCATTGCCATTCAGGGTCAACAGGGGTCTCGGCTGCTTCCTGAGCAGCTTCTGACAGAGGCTTTCATCCTGAGTGACCTCTTTGATATTGGAGAGTTGGCAGCATTGGAGCTACTGTTAGCGGGTGAAGTTGCCTTTTTTTGAGTTATTAAATTTTGTTTATAGTGCCTCAAACACTTGTACTTCAAAAAGTTAAAGATATACAGTAGATATATGCAGTTCTCTCGAGTAAACATAGCAACAACCCAAAAGACCAGTATTCCACACATAATACAAAAGCAAAAACATCACGCATTAAACATTTTGGCTTCATCAGTTTATATATAGTATACATATTACTGAACTATTTCCCCCAAAACAAAAGTGTGAATTCACTAAATTAAATGTTCTCATGTAGGTGAGCAGCAGCAGCCATATTTTCCTGGGCTGACTCGAGGACTGGTAGCTGTGTTGCTTTACTGGGATGGAAAGCTTTGTGTGGCCAACTCTCTGCAGACACTCATTCAATCACGCCATGGCAAAACCTTTACCCTGAATCTAAGGTAATTTATTTTTGTAGGTGTGATAAATGCTTATAAAAGTATGTGGATGTTTTGATAACCCTCTTTACTCAAATAATTACTGTATCCATTATTGTCTTACATATTTTCTTCTAGTGTGGAGTTGGTGGCCCTGACAACTCGTTTTACAGATGAGCTGATGAGCCAAGGTTTGACCAAGCGTATCCTAAACTTGATGTCAGAGATTAGTGTTACACGTGAATTTGAAAAGCTTCAAAAAGAACGAGGCCTTGGTAATGAAAAGCACAGGAAAGAGGTAGGTGCATTTGGTTTGTTCTTCCAAAGAAACATATACCAAAAATTATGAACATAACTTACTTTCCAATCTTGTTGCCAGGTTTCCTACCTAATCAATGAATGCAGACAGGTGCTGGCTGACAGCTTGTTTTCATGGACCTGCCAATCACCCCTAACTAAAGATGACACTCTGGCTCTCATCAGCCATCTGGAAACAGTGACAGCTCAGGCTGATGGCTCATTGCACAGTGTAAACCTGGCTCTGGTTATGGCCCTGCTGTACTGCTTAGACGTCAGCTTTGTTGAACAAGGGACTGAAGATAGAGAAGGTGAATAATAACCTAAAACGTAGTGTACAGTGTACACCTCTATAGTTGAATTCAATGATTGGATAACAAAAACAAATTAATCTACATTTAAAGCAGTGAGTTGTTTAAGTCTGTACTTCACCGCAGCATCTCCTGAAGGATTATCTCTGCCATTACAGATCTGCTCCAGGCACTGCCCTTGTTGACTGAGAGACAGTACGTTGGTGCAGTACACAGTCGTCTCATGGCGGACCAACCATGGAGACTTCCGGGGCTTCAGGCAGTGTGTCGACTGGCATGGGCTCTGTCCCTTAGGGTCCTTTCCCAACTGCCACAAGGTTCTGGTAAGACTTTCTATTTACTTTTTACTTTATACTTTATCTAACCTGCAGTAATAACAGTTGTCCTGGAGGACAAATGTGTTTAATACAGTTTGTTTGGGTCTGTGCAGCTCTTGTAGAATTCACAGAGGCAGATGAGGCCCTGACTGACCAGGCTCTGCTGGGAGATGTCTTTCTGTTCATAAAGGAAGGCATGCTGGGATGTGAGAGTTTTGCACATGAAGAGTTTTACATCCGTCGGCTCCATTCACTTATCACGGATTTCCTGGCACTTATGCCAATGAAGGTGCCACTATTATTATTATTTATTTTTGTTTTAATTATACTCTGATTAACTATTAGATTAGATTAGATTTTGATATTGTTCTTCTTATGATAAATATCTGACTGTGTTTTCTCTCTAGGTGAAACAGCTTCGCAACCGTGCTGATGAGGATGCCCGGCTGGTGCACATGTCTCTACAGATGGATAGTGAACTTCCATCATCCCTGCGGAAAGACCTGGAGCACCTAATGAACCTTGTGTGTCTTTTATTCACTTAAGTGCAGAATCAAACCTCTACCAAAATTACCAAAAAATTACTTTTTTGGTAATTTACTGTACAACTCTTACTTTGTGTGTTTTTTATTCACTGAAGTTGAGGTCTCAACTTCAGTGAATAAATCATCAACTTTTTAGTTCAGTCAGACGTTGTAATAGTATTTGTTGTGGTTTGTCTGTTCAGATAGGGGAGTTTTATAGCAAAGACTCATTTGGACTGGAACTGGGTCTGGAGTTCTGGTGTCCCACAGAGTCTCTCCAACACACTTCTCTACAGGGATCCTACCTGGGAATGGCTCTGCAGAGGCCTCCGCATAAGCAGGTAAAACGCAATATGTTCTGGTATACTGAAGCATTAAAAAACAGTTAATTGGAATTTTTGAAACATTACTGTTTTGAGATATTTATAAATGTTATACTGCTTTTCCATTTTGTGTTTAGGTGGTGTTGTCCAAGTTTGTGCGACAAATGGGAGATCTTCTGCCCTCAACACTCTACATCTCCTATCTCCACATGCTTAAAGGCCTTGCAAATGGCCCACAGTGTGCCCACTACTGCTTTAGCCTATTGAAAACTAATGGAACCACACACAGTAAGAACACACTGTTGCCCTAATATTAAAATGCAGATATTTACAGTTTTTGGTTTGGTTTACAGTGAATGGTTTACAATTACGATCAATTTTTGACAATTGAACTTCAAATCCTAAATAATTACATATTGTCCATGCTCATTAGAATTACTATCACTAAATGTATTTTAGGTGACAACATTCAGGGAGTTTCGGGCAGCCCTGTGTCCTGGGAACATTTCTTTCATTCACTGATGCTGTATCATGAGAACCTACGGAGAGATCTACCAAATCCGGATGCAGTGCAGTACCGACACCCACCATTGAGGGGCATCACTCAAAGAGAGCTGGAAGGACTCACTTCGTTTTTGCAGTTGCTCACCAAGATTATATCATGGGTATGAGGCAACTTACACAAGATCAAGTTTGTTTCAATGTCAGACCTTAACAGTAAGATATTTTCTAACCTCAGAGTGAAAATGCCAGACTGGCCTTATGTGAACATCCTCAGTGGACACCAGTTATAGTGATGCTGGGATTACTACAGTGCAGTGTTCCACCCGTCTTGAAGGCAGAGCTCCTGAACTGCCTGGCTGCCTTTGGAAAGTCACCAGAGATTGCTGCATCACTGTGGCAGTCACTGGAGTACACACAGGTGACCTTAAAAAACATGACAGAGGATGTAGAGTTAATTATTCTTTTGCTGTTAAATCCAGAAAGTTCAACAAGAAATGTCTATAATATTACGACAGATTTTATTCTATATGTTTTGTCACAGCTAAAACTTTTTTTTTTGTTTTTTTGCCACAGATTCTCCAGACTGTTAGAGCTCCAGGACAGAGACAAGCAGCTGGAATCGAGGTGGGTCAATTTATTTCAATTAACCTGTTAAAATAATAGAGTTACAGTACCGGTTTAGTAGTATTTCAGCATAGTGTATTTACATTGACCAACAACAAATTCTACAGGGTAAGGGATTTTAATGGTAGTGTTTGCCATTAAACTACCTAATAGAATTTTTCTGTAGCAGTAAAAACCTAGCCTTGCATGTGTAATTTCTCCACTAATCCAAGACTTTACACTGTCTGGAAATTCTAAGTACTGACATGGGGGTAATCTTTTTATAACACAAGATAATTTGTAAATGATAATAACTGACAAACGTTCTGTTTTAATATTTCTTCTTTTAGGTTGAGCTGAATGAGATCGAGTCCAGCTGTGAAGAGTACCCTCTGACACGGAGCTTCTGTCATTTAATCAGCACCTTGGTGGAGAGCAGCCTGCCTGTTAATCTGGGAGCTGGGCTACGTGTTCCAGGATTTCAGCCATACCTTAACTTCTTGCGAGATTCTGTGTTCCTCCCTTTCCCCACAAGAGCCTACCGTCGCCCAGAGGAGAAGGTACAGGGCTCATCTTATTTTCATTACCAGTTGTATGGAAGTAATTATAGTGTGTATGTTTGCTATTAATCGAAATACTCGTTCATTGTTCTGATTTCTTTTCCCCCTGTTGTCATCACTCAGTGGGAGGTTGCAGACTCTGTTCTGGAGGTGTTTCACAAACTGCTGCGTGACTATGAGCCTCATCCTTCAGACTTTGTTCAGGAGATGGTTGAGCTACAGGGTGAGCAGGTCCCTGCCCATAAGCCCCCCGGCCACAGTATTATGTTCCATCTGCTCAATGACTCCCCAACTCTGGCCCTTTGCCTCAGCCTCCTGGAGGAAGGTGTACGCCAGCTGGACACTTATGCACCATTCCCTGGTGAGACACACGTAACACTGTTACAGTTAGAGTGAATAAAGATCCAGCTGTATGTGTAGGTTTTTAAAATGAATTTTGATTACTGCCCCTCGTCAGGTAAGAAACATTTGGAGTCAGCAGTGTTGCATTGCCTGTGTCTGTTCGACCTGGTTCTGCAGAAGGAGGCAGTTTTCATGGATCTCCTCAGGGAGAGCCAGGATTCTATGCTGGTCTCGCCATTGGAGCAGCTGCTTCAGGGGGTCAGTCCTCAAACACGAAGAGCCGATCATATCGTCACCATTGCCAGGTAGACTGAGTCACCCATTGGTCTCTACAGTACTGCGTGCTATAGTTTAACTAAATGATGTAGCTTTTTACTGAGCATTATGATGTTACTGTTTTATCTATTATACTAATTTGTAAGAGGGTCAGATTCCAGGAATGTTGCACAAAATCATGAGATTCACGTTTGTCTTCTGCAGGTTTCTTTATCACAACAGCTCTGACCCAGAAGCTGCCTTCCAAAGTGCCAAAATCCTACGCCGTGTTGCCATCTACCCAAACATTCAGATTAGGTTGGTGGGAGATTTCACACATGATCAGGTAAATGCAAATTAGCTGTTGTGACAATTAATATGTGAATTTAATCAGATTAAATTGCTGTTATTTTCTTTGTGTCACGACAATAAAGATGAAAAAATACTCAGTGTTGATCTACCACATAGAAACATGATGGACTAAAACTAACCTGTGATGAAAAAGTTAATTTTGCAATATAAGCTTGGGAAACATTCAATGGAGCATTGTCTCTCTTTCTCAGACTGTGAGCGTCAAACTGATGGCTGGCTTTGTGCAATGTTTGGACAATGAGGATGCAGAGGAAGTGACGGAGAAAGTAGATGGTGAGATATGTGTTAATTATTGCAGGGATTTAGTTTAAATGTTTCGTAACGTAAACTGTTGCATTGAATAGTCCATCGTAGTTTTTGCCACCTTTAATCTCATGCTGACTAGCCTAATCTTCTTTCAGAATCAGATGAGCAGAGAAGGCTAGCAACAGTTCGACATGAAACCCAAATCCATATTTTGAACCTGCTTATCACATCCCTGGAGCTCAAGGCACCAAACCTGGCACTGTATCTTTTGGGTTACGAAGTCAAGAAACCTGTGGGCTCAACTAACCTCCAGGATCCAGGTTGGATCAAAACCTCAACTACTGACATGCTTAGTTTTATATGTTTAAGTCAGATATAACAGATAAGAAACAGTATGCTGACTTGTTGGTGTGTTCTGTCCTGTAGGTGTGTTGGGATGTCCACGGAGCTGCTTGCATGCGATCCTGAGTCTGCTGCAAAAAGGGACAGAGAAGAGATCTGGACCTGTCCTCACTCAGCAGGCCCCACACCTGGCTGAGCTTTGCTACCAGGTACACTTTATAGCTTAAAAGATGATTGATGCAATATTGTTTTAGTTTTGCATGTTGTACAATGTTTAAAGTATATTGATGTTAACAATATAAATCAAGTGGGGTGTTTTTCTGTTATTTTCTTCAATCTGGTAGGTGATCTACCAGCTGTGTGCCTGCCCAGATACGTCTGAACCTACCATGCGTTACCTGAGGACCAGCCAGGACTTCTTGTTCTCTCACCTCCAACATTTGCCGTTCAGTCTCCCCAGTGAGTTTAAGATCTTGGCTGATCTCCTAAAAGATAATAAATAATACGTTATGGCATTGGGGTGTGGCGAAGAAAAGGTATTAAAATCAGATTAAGGCAGAACACAGTAACAATAGCTCTGATAATGTGTGGTTGTATTATGCAGATGAGGAAAATATAGACCAGATAACTAGACAGTTGGTGATGCTTATTAGTACAAACATTTGGTTTGTTAATAGAAAGCAGTGATTGTTTTTCTAAATAATGAATCTTCTGTCCTTCTCCACAGGTAACCAGATCGCTTCCCTCTCTCAGATGTCATGGCTCATGAAAACAGCTGCCATAGAGCTGAGGGTCACATCATTAAACCGCCAGCGGTCACACACACAACGTCTGGTCAGCCTCCTGCTAGATGACCAGCCACACCCCCAGCATACGGGTGAGTGCTGTACCATGCTTATGATTACAATATCTGTTCAATGCAAACTTTTTAAGGACATAAAAAATCTTGCTGTACTTCAAATATAAAGCACTTTGCAAATATAGATAAATAAAATTGTGATAAATATTCTTTTCAGCTGATGGTGAGTCTGGAATGGAGGAAGAGAACAGATCTGTTAGTGGTTTCCTGCATTTTGACACGGTTTCTAAAGGTTTGTTTAAAAAAAACAAAAAAAAACCTTCCATCCTTTATAATCCTCATAGTTTTCCTTTAAACCTAATAAATTCCTTTCTTGTTTGTTCCCATCAGTGCGAAGAAAGCTGTTGAGTGTACTCGATGCCATCGATTTCAGTCAGACAATGCCCGAGCTTCTGCAGCTGGATTTCTTTGAGCGCACTCAGATTGAGCAAGTCATCTCCAACTGCGAGCATGTCAATGAGCAAGGACATAATGTGTGCAATGTTAAGGTAGAACGTGTACATTTTTTAACTGTTGGAATTTTTTATTTTTTTTCGTCTTAATTTCAAAGTCCTTTATCGTGTAATATGATGTTCCTCACAGCTGCTACACAGAGTGCTGGTCGCTGAGGTGAACGCCCTGCAAGGAATGGCCGCCATCGGACAGAGGCCAATGTTAATGGAGGTGAGATAGTTTAAAAAGAAAGATGGTTTAATTACACAGTTAAAGCATTCCACTGGGCTGCCAATGACTTCTCCATATTCCATATAGTTAATTCTTTAAATTTTCAAGCAAAACTGATGTACCGTGTCTTCCACTGTGTTGATTCTAGGAGGTGAACTCAATCCTGCAACACGTGGTTGAACGTAATGTTGTCCGCCGGAGTCTAACTGCAAAGAGACATGTGCTGCAGTCTTGGAGGAACCTGGTGGAGACTCTGCTCACTGCCTGCCCTGCAGATCTGATACCTGCTGACGACAGACAACTTATTATCAGAGACCTGCTGCTGGACCTGCATGATAAAGTTAGTAAAAAAAAGCATTTAGAATAAAAACAAAAAGAAAACTGACTTATCAGTCAAAGCTGTCATTTATAAATAAGCAAGATAAATTGAATAATTGTTATAATTACAAAGTTAATATGTACTTCTATGTGACACAGGTGTTGTCCAAGGATGCAGCAGGGGAACTGATGCCCATCGTTGCAGGTGCAGTCTTTACCCTGACAGCCCACCTCAGTCAGTCAGTTCTCTCTGAGCAGCAGCAGGGCCTGGGGTTAGAAACCTCCTCCGGCTTTGCTTCCATCGCCAACTCCGCCCTGCACCTGATCCTAAGAAAGCTTCTGGACTTTATACTTTGTACTGGTTAGTGTACGCCAAACTTGTACATGTGTTTTTGGTATTTAACACAATCCCATGATATTTGTTTTTTTAATTTTCTGTAAGGAGGTGGATACCAGCGTCTTCGTGCTCATCTGTATGGCTCTCTGCTCTACTACCTGCAAATTGCCCAGAAACCAGATGAACCAGATACGCTCCAGACAGGTGCAGCATTATTTTACATTTGTAATGGCTTATTTATTTTTAAATATAAAAATAAAAAAACTCTCTCTCTCTCTCTCTCTGTCATATAGCTGGGAGGGCAATGTGGGAACGACTCACCGCTCCTGAAGATGGCTTCTCCAAACTTCAGAGAGAAAATCTTGCTATCATTGAGAGTTACGGGAAGTCTCTCATGGAGGTTGTGTGTAGAGATGCCTGTGACGGCCATGAGTTTAGCAGAGTAAGAGTCATGCATACATATTTTGTTCTTACCAGAGTAGAACTCGAGGCCTCTGGACACTTCAAATGTGTCTCCTCTGATGTCCCTGGTGTTTCTTCCTGTGTCTCAGATGCTGGCCTTGGCAGTGCTGGACAGAATTCTGTCTATAGATCGTCAGAATCAGTGGCTGCTTTATGCCTGCAACAGTGGCTACCTGCGGTCACTGGTGGAGAGCCTGAGACAGGACGATGTCGCCCTGCAGAGTCTGCTCACGCCTCAGCTGCCCCTACTTAAACCTCTCTACATCTACGAGAGCAAGATGGTGAGATGTGCTCCAGTAATCCTCCTCCCAATACTGTCCTGCTGATTTGACAGTCCTGATATTAAACAGTTTCAACATGTAATTACAGGCTTTGCTCACTCGTGTGGCCAAGACAAGCCAAGGAGCTGTGGAGCTGCTGCGCTGTGGACTAGTGGCTCATTTAATTGAGTGTCAGGTGTTTGACATGGTACCTGACAGTGATGCACACAGGTGGGGGTCTGATGAATTGACAGTGTCTTGTTGTGTTTGTAACATAGTACTGTAGGAAGAAAACACTGACATTCACTGGAATATTGGAAATCCTATTCCCTAAAAATATTTCAATATTTTCAATATTTGATTTCCATCACTCAGACTTCTGATATATCCTATATTTGTTTGTAATTGACAGAGTGATGAGGGACGGATCAGGCTTCATCCCCAGTCCTATGGACCGCTATAGACAGATCCTCATACCAACTCTGAGGCTATTCCAGGTTATTCTGACCTCCACCACCATGAACCACCAGCAGGGGGCAGCACAGGCAAGCGTTTATTTATTAAAAGACAACAGACTCTAAATCATTGCGCACTGGGACCAAATAAAATGATTAAGTATTGTCACCTTTACTTGTATTTGCTCGTGTACTTTTAGGTTCTTCAGTGGCTCATAGTCCATGCAGACACCATCCAGTCTCTGTTGCGCTCACATGATCTGAGTATGGGAGCTTTGCAGGTGCTGTCTTTGGTAACAGGAATCATCAGTAAGACGGCTCTGCCAGGTAAAAAATTATCATTACAGAAATAAAGGACACTAATTTTTTTTAACCTTGCCTGGCATACCTTCAAATTCCACAATGTACAACATCAGTGAAAATAAAAATGTACAAATCAGTGTTTATTTTGTCAGGTGTTTTACAGGCTGGTGGAGATGTGAACAGTGCAGCCATCATGGAGTTCCAGGGTCACATCAACAGATTCCAGGTAAAATCCTTTTCAATTTAATTTTTTTTTTGGACTTTTACCATAAACTTATTTATCTTTTTGCACAGCAAGTTTAAAAATGTCCTTCTACCTTTTAGCGTCTTTGTCTGTCTTTGCTCTCCTGTCTGGTGGGAAGTGAGCGAGAGAGATTACTGAAGCAGGCAGAAATCGCTTCACCTGGAGAGTCAGCAGAACGACGAGAGGACATGGAGGTGGCCATGCAGCAGGTTTGACTTTTTAAATATAAATCAATTTTGCGAATAATTTAGATTACAAAGGTGGTTATTTTTTTAGAAATTGTGTGTCTTGTATCTGTAAGAGGTTAGTGTGTATTAATTTACAGCTACTGGAACATCAGGTGGAGGCCTGTATTCAGCTATACTTGTGCTCAGTCATCAGTTCTGCAGTTTTCCTGACCTAAAAGGTGGGTTCTGCTATTTCCAGGTGTGTGCCAACATAATGGAGTACTGCCAAACTCTGCTGCTGCAGAGCTCCACCCAAGCTCAGTTCAGCATCTGCCTCTTCACCCCTGTAGGCAGTGAGCCAGCTGGCAGAGATGGAGGACGCACAGGTCAGTTAAGTTTTTCCCACAGTGCAGAAAAGCAAAAATTTGACCTCTGTGTCTATTTCTATTGTTATTGTTAATAAATGTACATTGTCATCTTATTTTTTAAGATCTTTCTTCTTCTCTGCCCTTGATGAATTATTCCCGAGCACCCAGTCTGGGTCTGGTTCTGTACCTGTTGAAGACCAGTACTGCAGATTTCTTCAGGTTTCACCAGAGTCACAGACAGAGCCTAGATAAGCTGCAGAACCTGGATCAGCTGCCTCCTGAAGAGCTGAAAGAGGTGAAGATACAGGAGTTTTGATTCAATTTGTCAACTTCTGGAATGCTTTAAAAAAAAAAAGCTTGTTTTTGTAAATTGTTCATTCTTGCCTTTGTAGCTGTGCCATGGTTTGGTGTCAGGCTCAGGAGGTGTAGAGAAAATCTCCTCCGTCCATAGAAGTCTGCTCGCCAAGAGACGACTGGTCCAGCTGATCAACAACAGAGCCAAGCTGTTGGCCCTCTGCTCCTGTATCCTTTGGTCCTTGTTAGCATCACAATGACAGGACTAATAGTAAATACTCAACCGAAAAACAACACAGTGTCCATGACTTGGCAACTGCAGGTTTTCACCTCCCACCATCCAAAACTGTAGTGTGATTTAAAGAGTAAAAACATGACTTTTGTCTTAAATGCCTTGACCCATTTGTCTGTCAGATGTTGTAGAGACATGTTTGTTTGTGTTGTGGCGCCACCTTGAGTACTACCTTTTGCATTGTACTCCGACTGACCCCAAAGACTCTCTGTTATCTGGAGCAAGCTTGGTTCGATCCCGCTTCACTGACGGTAAGAAAATATATTGAAGTAAATCGCATCTCACTTAAATAGTTAAATTCCTCCTAAACTAAAACACCAAAAAATTTATGAAGTACTGAATTTATTTTAATTTTCTAAAGACTTCTGATGAAATAGAGTTGATTTTTGATTATTATTATTATTCTGAATTCTACTACAGATTCATTTGGAGATTTGCAGGCGAGTGCAAGCCGTGGACTGTCGCGAGTCAGCCAACAAGACTTGGACCTGGTAAGAAAGTGCTGATGACAGTGCATATTTTCTCGAAAGGTCTTTCTTTAACAAAAGCCCATTTCAGTTTAGTCTACACCCTGAAAGTACAATAATATATAATGTGTTTGGGAGACATAAGCATTTATTTTACAGACAAAAACAGTATTTTCACTGAAAAAAACATAATAAAAAGGTGCCTGCTGCACACTAGCACAAAATAACAAATAATGTAGACCTGTTTTGAACTACAGTAAAAATTAAGTGAATTGTGAAAGTGAAATTCTGGTAGACACAAGAAATTTCCCTTTCTAAAAACAGCTTTCTAGAAACAGCTTTTTTCCGCACAGGGCAGGTACTGCAGGTCTCTTTTTACTAAGATAGAAATCAGACAACTGTGACCATGTGCTGTTCAGCAGCTCATATGTTTCAATGGCAAGAATATGCAAAACTCCACCTGTTGACTTATGGTATCTTCAGTCCTCAAACGATTAAAATTGTAAGTAAGTGAAGTGTGTTTCTGGCAACTATTTCTAAATTATTTAAAAAATGCTATGTAATTTTTTGGGGACATTGTTCTAATAAATTAAGGTCTTAAAACTACATTCTGTTAAATAATTTAGTTTAAGTGCATTAATTTCAAAGTGTACTCAGTCATCTGAAATGGCCTTTAAAATAAGAAGTAAGCGTTTCATCTCTTCAACCACACGTGAAACTCTGTTTCGGCATTGTTCCTCATTTCACTGTATTTTGTGTGTGTGTGTGTGTGTGTGAGAGTAGCTTAAGAGTGACATGGTCGCAGGTTTCGGGGAAGTGCTGCAGAGGAAGCTGTTGGAGGTGGAGGGCCTGTACAGCCAAGTCCGCTCCCGCTACACCTTCATCCAGGCCCTAGTTCGGAGAATCCGCGGTCTGCTCCAACATACCAAAAGCTGAGACATTTGTACAAGAACAAAAAAAACAAGACCAAGAGTTTCTAAATTGGAACCCTGGCCCCGATGAGTCATGAAAAACTATTAAGGAACTTTTTCAGTCTTTTTGCTTTTTTTTGTGCACCTCACTTCCCTTTTTACTGACTAGTACAACTCTTGTCTTTGATTACTATGGTATGCTAACATTGTTAAATCTGATAATGCTTTCTATGTGACCAATGCTCATGAATTTAGACCTGACACTGGGCAAGTAGAACTAATGAGAACACATTGAACGAATGTTTTACATGTGCTTGTTGAAATTGATTTTTTTTTTTCTTTTTGTGAAAATAAACATTTTCTATGTCTGGTAAATTCTTGTCTTGTTCACTCAGACCAATGACTTAATATGTAACTCCTAATTAGTGTTACATTTGTTGAATTATACTTCTTAAAGGCAAAACTAATAGACGTTAATATATTTTTGTATAAGTCAACCAATGAAAACATAACTCAAGAAAACAGTAACAGACAACGTCGAGTTGGCATTCGTCATGTACACTAAAGTGAGGACGAGGGCCATCAGAGGTATGTTTGTTGGCTGTAAGGCAGGACATGCAAACAAAGACCCAATCAGAGTGAACATGTTCAAGTGTAGTTAGAAGCATTTTAGTCAAAAGATTACATCTTAATTGGTTGTCAAAAATAACATTGTTACAAATAATGGTCTAAATTAAGGTTTGTACCAATTTGAGTTATTTTGCCTTTTGACATGAAATTGAGGAACTTCCGTAAAAAACTTAGTTTTCACTGAGCTCGTTATTCAGACTAATGTCATCATTTATATTTTTACATTTGTCAATAGGATTTCTCAGCTTTTTCTGTCACAACATCACTATTTCCAAAAGCATGTCAGCTGAGTCAATGTAAATAAAAAAAAAGCTAAAAATGACCAAGCAAAACTTCAGAAGAGTTTATGACAGATTGCTCAGCGTTACGTTGAAAAACAACCTAAATGACTATAGACTAAATGAATCTGCTTTATCTCTCCGAAGGTACACTTTAAAAGTCTGTAAAGTGCTTAGATTCTCTATTTACGTAGAAAGAGAATAAAAGGACAGAAATATCAGGATACATTCAAATCTTTTTAAAATTGACAGGTAAATTGTGTGGTCTTGTTTTTTTAACACTGATGGGGACTGAGTTCAAAGGTGACCACAAGAAACTGGTTGTCACACGTCAGTGAAGAATATGAATGCCTTTGTCGAGTTATTGTCCAAAAAATGATTTCAGGAAACACGTAGCGTTGGCTTACTGTTTTTTAGAGGCAGAAAAGACACTTTGTGCTTCCAACAGACAGATTTATCTTATATAAATTACTTTTAAATAATAATTACAGCTTTAAAAAACAAATGTACAATTCTGCCGCCAGCTCTTTAGATTTCAGATTGTGCTCCATTTAAGTCAAAGCTGTTGACAACTGCCCTACATGATGCACTCAGTTTAGATCTGTCCTCCACTGCTGACTGTGCCGGGGAGGAATGCAACACTGAAAGTGGCATTCCAGTGCCTGCTGTAAGACTGAGTGACCAATAGCACTGAGGTGAATTAATCTGCATTTCGAAATATATGAAAATGAAATCCAGGTATTTCTTAAGATACAATGGTTTGAGGTTTAAAAGCAGTTCCTTAACTGATGCACGCTGATCTGGTTTCACATAACAGATGACCTTAAATGTCATGCTCAAACTGAGACAAAAAAAAAAAAAGAGAGAAAAAAACGCAGACACTTTCGCCCACATGCATGAGAGAGGGAGTGTAGACCATCGTGAGCCTAACCACAGGGCCATATCCTCAGTGTTTGAACCAAGTGAAGATGCTTTTCTATTAGAAGTTCACTGTTTCTGTTATAGAAACAAATTTGAAGACAGGTCCATGGCGTCTGTAATAGAGCAGGTCTGTGGGATGTTGATTTAATCCTGAAGCCCCTCTGCTCTAGTGTTGATTGTACCACAGATGTCCTTTAGTAATATCTCACAGCTTTAACTGTAAATCACATGTTTTTTGTCCAAAAGCTCCAGGGTAATACTGGAGAACTGAAGAATAAGGAGAAAGGCAGCTTATCCAGCACTGATTCGGTTTCCATTAGCTTCCACAATACTCCACAGAGACGGTGCATTTGTATTCTCTTCATACAGCCCATGGCAGAGGATCCAAATCTCTTTTGAGCAAACAGACAGCAGCAATTAGTGTGCAGACAATGGCCTTATGTGCTGTCAGTCGCTGCCTCTTGTGTGCTGCTGTCCATCACATTTGTGTTGCTGCCGTTGATCTGCGGGCATTCTGGCACCTCCCCCGTCACCGCCACTCTAATTACTTTCAGCCAGCGCTGCTTCAGCTCCTCAGACTCTGCAGCAAAGTTGTGCACGGACTTTGACTGAGAAATCCGGAAGCTGGCTGGAGCATCTGTGGGTCGGATGGTGTCATCCACAGAATAGCCCAGCAGGGGGATTGTACTCTGAGCCTTAACGTCCTGGTAGTCAGGAACACAGTTAACATTAACACTATATGTGAACAATGTTTACCCTAAACGTGTGATTTCATATCCAGGTTACCTGTGGAGCTCCGTAAAGATACAACACCAGACATTCCTTCTCAGGGATGACGCACCACACCTTCTGCCAGGGCTTGTTTTTCTCACAGTACTGTAAGAAACCACAGATGATGCTGTTGCCTGTGAACTGAGCCGCCTCGATCTGCACAAAGATAAAGAAAAAAATGAGAAAAAGTTCTTGAAAAGGTTTGTTTTAATATGCAGAGAAAGACTAAAATACTATATCCTAGTGGAAAATAACAATAAAAATGTTTTTAAAAGCCCAATCAATCTAAAGCTCTAAAGCTCTCATTTTAAATCAGTAAAAACCAGAACTGAGTCAAGTTTGTTGTTTTTAGTCAGTGTACACACTACAGGGCCAAAACGGCAGCCTTCAAGCAGATTAGTAAACAACTGATCATAGGTGATATTTAGGAACTTTTTTCCTTTAAAAAAGCATGCTGTAAAAATCTCATAGATTACAGAGAACTGCCCAGATGTTTGATAGCCGTTTATTACCCAAACCCAGTCCTCACCTCCAGGATGCCCTTCTTCTTGCCCTCTGCTACGGTTTCTCCAGTCAGGATGGAGAAACAGTCTCTGCAGACTTTGTTCATCTTGTTGCTGTCGTATTCAAGAGCTGCCTTATTATCTGAACATTTCCAGCACACAACCTGTTAAAGAAAGGTCAAAAGATCAGACAATGACAGAGACGTTCCCTAGAATTAAGGACTCTTCAATGTTTTATATCCCTCTGTACGGCCCTTGTCTGCCCTAGGGTCCCATGTGACTGTTAAGTTGCCCCTGTCTGGCCGCTCTGGGTCAAATGTAAATTAGAACAGAGGTTCACAAAGAGTAATGGCTGCGAGTCATTTGGTACAAGTCACAAAAATGTGCAAAATATTTTACCTGGAAAAACAATTGGATTCAAAATAAAAGTCTCCTTAAAAAAAGCTATTGGCAAAAAAATAGTGTGTGTAGTGTGTGCTGCACTACAATTCATTTGATTTTTTGTGTTACAATTGTCCATGAGAATATCAACAAATTAAAAAAAAATGGTCGAGCAACTTTTCATAAGAACATAAAAGTTAAAGTGTTTATGTCCCAAAGCTTTAATTTTGAAATTGTGTTTTTTTAAAATACATTTCTCATTTCTCCATGTGTGTAATCAGCTACAAGTAATGCTGGCCAGAAAGAAAATGGAGAGGGAAATGTCAAGTCACTGGTGAAGCTGTTTGTTTAGTTTGTGGTAAACTTTTTGTCAAATTCTATGTTTTCTCCACTACGAGACCAAACCCAGAAAAACAGAAACAAAGGAGTCGATTGTTTTGCTAGTTAAGTTACAAAACCAACAAGGATTTTTTAATAAACTTCTGAAAAACCCAGGTCCCTGCATCATGTATGAAGCCGTACTGTGCTGCGTTCTTACATAGCCACAGGCTCTGCAGTGGTGTCTCCGCCGGGTCAGAGCGTTGAACGGCTCTTTACACTTCATGCACATGGTCACTTCGTTGTCGCGGATCCATCGGGGAGCTCGCTTCCCCAGCTCTGCTTTCTGTAAGAACGTGAAAACCATCAGAGTCGGTATGACAGGGCGTCAGGGTTGACATGTTCAGAACCTGAAGACACGTCTTTCAGACGACACTCACCGATACTTCCTCCGCATCTTTCAATGCATTCTTGAAGGACTCATTTTTTTGCTGGAAGACCTCGATGGTCTGCCGGAAAGCCTGAGGGAAGAAAACACCAAAAATATCGTTGATGAAGCTCAAATATTCATTATGGAAAAAAATAAAAATAAATCAAAAACGTAGTGATTGAGTCGTGCTTACCTTGATCCAGTCTGCCTTGTCCTGCTCTGAGCTGAGAGAGAAAACACAAAACAGCCATAATAAGCACTTGAATCTGATGACTTTATAATTACACCAACGTGGCAGTTAGTGGTGGTTATTTAAGGAAATCAGGGATTTGAACATGAACTCTGGGTGTGTTCATCTACGCTGTCCACCAGCCAAAAGTGACAATCGACTTTACGGTAAACAAATTACATCATTCAGTGTGAGACAGGGTGTGAGATTGTCACATTCTTACAATAAAACTGCAGCTACTTAAGTAAAAGTATTCACCTAGCCTGTAGCTCCAGTGTCCTCTCCTTCCCCGACACCTGAAACGTATGAGGGTAGTCCTCGTTGGCTGTTTCCAGAACCTTCATGCCATCAATGCCAATTCTTGTCCTCACTGTGTACTTCGGTCCACCCAGGCTAAATTTAGGAACGCAGTACAACAGCATGTTGTTGAACTGAGGAGGAAAAAACGAAACAGAGATCGGTACTTCACACTTTAAACGACAATACCCTGCAGACCTGAGCCATTCGGTCTTAATAAGAAACAACCACAGCCTAATCACATCATCTGGTAGTTTTGGTAATGGGGTGGGTTTACATCATTAACCTTCTGTTCTGCTAAGTATCAAGTATGGGGCTGGTTGGCTCAGTGGACAATGGTGCAGGGGGCAAGGGTTCGAATCCCTGTCTTCCAAGACAATTGTAAGATATAGTATTTCCTTGTGAAGGACATGGAGTAGTTTCACCAAATAGACACAGCCTCTAGTAGGACACTTGTGATGATATTTTCTATTAGGTCTTACCAGAAAGAGGTATCTCTCCATGGCTGAAGTATTCCTGGCTGCCAGCTTCAGGATATGTCCCTCTTTGATGAACTCATTGGAGGGGTTAACAATATCCTCCTCCTCTCCCAGCATCTCGTAGATCTCCAACAGCTTTTTCAGATTCTCCTAATTTAAAAAAAAAAAAAAAGACATAATTCTTTTAACTCAATTTTAACCGTTCATAGATTCGCTGAGAGTGGGGCGAGTCTGACGTGTGATCTTACAGATTTTCGTATTGCACTGTTGGAGTGAGTGGCAGCTGTGGCAATGATTTCTAAAGATTCTGGAAGAGAAAATACAGGGTTAGAAACAAGGACGAGTTAAATACATAAATAAAAGTGAGAAAACAGAGATTACGAGACGCTCACTCTCCGCATCCCGTCGGTCAGGGTCGTCCTGCGGCAGCTTCTTCAGATAGTCCTTGAGCAGCATCTCATATCGAGGCACTCTCTGCACAGGCTCCAACATGTGATGCTGAAGTGTCAGGCAGCCACACACCTCTTGACTCTGTGCAGAAAATTAGACAAATATATATATATATATACAAAATAATAACCTTTGCACACAATTTGACTATGACTATTATATGACTATTTGCGATTTTTCTTTGTCACATTACCTGTATCTCCTGGATAATGGCCTTGAACTGTGGAGAACGGTCAGTCCACTGTTTTAGCAGCTCCATGGCTTTGTCAAAATTCTTCACATACTCAGCATACATTTTGAGAAAGGGTGTGAGTTTCTGCAGAATGTCCCCAATTCGAGGTGTGGATCCCCTGCAGTTAGCAAAAGACAGCTGTGTCACTACGGCAGAGATTTGTTTACAGAAAATATGCAGCAGTGCTGGGTTCTGCTGGTATTTTTTTTTAAACGGACAGGACACTCGTGGATGAAAAAAAAAAGTGCACTGCTGCTGCTCACCATTCTCCCATGCGTTTCTCCAGATCTGGAAGCAGGAACTGGCTGTGAAAAGTGTTAATGGAGGTGATGTTGGAGAAGATGTTCTTCACTACGTCCACAGGAAATGTTCCCTTGTTGGCTTCCTCCATCAGCTTTGCACAGAAAACCTGTGAAAAGTTTGGTACAACCAGAAACTCAACATCCTGTTTTCTCTACTGCGTTGTGTTTATCACGTAACATCGTGTGAAAAGACCAGTTGACTGAAGACGTGGTCTGGGTGACTGACCTGGTCCAGTAGATTCAGTCTAGTAACGTAAGCCTTCTCTGTCTGCAGGAGCTCATTGGCAATCTTGAACAGCTTCTGCTCATTGGTCTCCTACAAAATTAAACCACACGATTTTACATCAGCAGTACAGACTGTGGAACTTTTTTTCCTAATGAAAATGTATTTTCAAACTCAAAAACTTCAATTCTTTCACTACAGAGGATCTACAGTAGTTGATACGAATTATAACACACGAGCTGAGGGAAATGCAGAAGTGCAGAATACTGTGACAGAGAGCTTGTGATTTCAGTTCATCTTAGGTTTAATTCCCAGTGTCCTGCTTCAGTTTGTCTGTCAGTTGGAGCTTCCTGTGTCTGTGCAAGTTCCTGATTACTTAAGTTTAAGTCAGATTTAAAAAAAAAAAATCATTTCAATAAAACCAAACCCTTTACAACAAAGGTGGACAATGGACTGAATATATCTCACATGTCACAGATATATATATATATATATTAGACATCACATTAGTATGTTTGAACTCCTCAGTGACTCACTGCTGTTGGACTGTAACCTGTTGTCTCACTGTTACACAGCTGTGTGTGTGTGTGTGTGTGTGTGTGTGTGTGTGTGTGTCATTAACAGCCATTAATAGCCTAGTGATTTTTTGGTGTGAGGGACTGAAAGGACATAAGTGCAGGAAATGACGCAACAAAGACCAAACTATGTGTAACAGCATTGTGAGTGAGGCCAACGACAACCACACTGTTATAAGGAGTACTGTGTTTGTCGCATGGAAATTTACTATAGAGACATATGTATATATTTGTATATATATACACACACATATATGTATATGTTTATAATCTTTATATGAACTTATTAATATATATATATAAATGTATCAGAGCTGTATATATAGGAATGAACACAGAATAGTACCTATTATTATATTATTATATAATTGAAATTATTATTTTTTATATTTTACATTATTTGTTCATAATTACCACTTTATCATTTTATTTTCCGACAGTTCAATAGAATTTTTCTTTATCTTAAGTACTGACTTTACATAAAGTTTGTGAGAATAAAGTCCTAATCATTCAACTTTTTGAAATAAGAAACCTTTTGTTTGATGACGAGAGATAAGACAAACCCTCATTTATTATATGATATATTTTCTTGAAATTGTTCTTTCACACATGGCTTCTACAATGGAGTGCACCTGGTTTCAAGTTTGCAGTTCTGTTTGTATTATTCACTGTATTACTGCTCTGAAGCTCAAATCTGATCTGCAGGTTTTATTTCTGTGATTCCATCACTTCTCAGGTTTGTTTCTTCCTTTACCCCAAGAATAAGAAGCTGTACTGGCGCTGGTCTCACGTGGCTAACTGAAAGTATTACAAAAGAAGCTTGAGTACATGTTGATAATCTAATGACAAAACCAATGTTCCAAACAGAGACGGTGTAATTGAATTGGGACTGATACAATCACACACATCACCAGCATGTTGATTTACAGTCCGACACAGAACAACTCCACAGACGACTGTTAGCTTCTGTCTAAAGTCTATGGGGACGTTGTCACCACAGGGAATGAAAGGATCCATCAGAATGGGAGATATTTTGAAGACCTCGGGCCTCAGAAGTGGAGCTCACCAAAAAATGAACCCAGCTGCTCAGATGCTGGACATCTGTTCTGCCTTCACAGAAAATAACTCCTCTCTGACACACATGCCAGTGAGGAGTGACACGCACACTGGTAACTCGATCTGGACTATGTAGGTAGGTGACCCAGAACGGATGTAGTGCAGATGATTTAATTAGCATCAGGGCTGAGAGTATAAATAAATCCACACAGTTTATGGAGCCCACCGGACTCTGTGATGGTTCCAACAGATCACGACAACAGACAAACTTACCTTCTGGTCTGTGCCTTTGCTTTCATTCTTGTGCTCACTCTCTGTGTCTGTACTGTGAGTGTGACTTTCTTCATCAGTCCTGTCTGTCTGTGGAGGTGAATGATCCTCATTCTGCTCTGCACTCCCATCCCCCATGTCTCCATTAACCAGGCCGTCCGTCTCTTTCCTCACACTCTGTTTCTCCTCCTCGTTGTCCTTCTCCATCTGCTTCAGCACTCCGTTTCCCACCGGCTGGCGATCATCCTTGTGTGCCGTCGATACTACGGAGGAGTGATTCTCCTGATTCCTGCCGGCCTCCGTCTGCCTCTGGTTGGTGCGGTGGGCCGGGCTGCAGTTATTCGACCTGCTAATAGGTTTAAGTGGTGAGCCGTCTCTCTTGTCCGTGCTGCTGCAGTGACAGACAGGCAAACAAAGAGGGAAGTCGGTCAGCACACGCACGGCACAGAAATAGTTCCCCAACAGCCTTCCCCTGAGACAACTGAGAGTGAAATGATGAACAGCATACTACACGACTGTAGTAGCCATGACACTTCACAAATACAGTAGCTGATGAATCAGAATCAGCATCAGAAATGACTCTAATGAAGCCCTGAGGGAAACTGTTGACACTACAGGACACTCCTAGGCAAACGTGGGAAAAAGGGAATGAGGTTAAGTGGAAATAAAATTATTAAAATAATAAAATATTCTTAAAATACAATAGGAATGACAGATTAAGAACCAGTTGTGGCAGCAGAAGTCTGCTGAAGCAGTGGAACATGCCGGTCAGCACAGAGCTCCGTGCACACGGGTGTGAGAGTTAAAAATAAAGCTGTGGAGGTGCACGAACTTCCTTCTGTCTTATGAGTATGCTGACAGCTGTTGTTGTGCAAAGGAAGTGTGCTGCACGGGGGCACAGGAGCAGAGGTACAGCACTGCTCTGGAGGGAACGATTGATGCCGCTCTACATCCACTCGTTTTTCGTTTTTTTTCTCTAACGTCACTTTGATTCATGAATTAAATGGTGAAAGCAGCCTGAACACATCCTCATGAAAAACAGCACAAGACTGGGAAGCAGATTAGCACACAAACAAACACACAGAGAAAGGCACACATACAGTACATTACATACACACACAATGTGACCATTCAGCTGCACTACTTCCGTTACCGGCAGTCTGCCCAGCTGTTTCTACACAAATGACTCTCCAGACTTCACTGTTGTTTTGATGTCAAATAAGCAGCACATCCAGTTTAAGAAAAAAAAAAAAAGAAAAATCCACTGCTGAGGACTCCACCGTACAGGAAACGACAGATCTGTAATCAGAACCAAATACAGTTCACCTTCAACTTCAACGACATTCACTGTTGCAATAAATGCTACTTCTGGTTGAAACAGGAAGTGTGAGCAAATAGAGGAACAGCTTCAGAGCTGTTACTCACTAGTGGCGTTTGTTTTAAGGTGGAAAAAAAAAAAGAGCCCGGGGACAGTTTAGAGAAAACAACACAGGGCCTCGCTGCGGTTATGTTTTACATGTCACTAGAAAAGTCAAGAGTTTCACTACACAGAGGCAGAATTGTTACCTCATCCAACCTGGTGTTAAACAAACATCTATGGTAGTTCAGAGGCAGCCAACAGCCATGTGAAGCAGATTAGATTTTTTTAAATCAGATTTATTCTGTTCTCAGACACTGTGGACCTTTCTCTTCCCTTGAGGCCTAATCCTCACCAGTCCAGAGTGGGAAAGTAAAATGACCTCATTCCACAGTAGAAGATGTAACAACAGGTGTGGAGGACGTATGTCATGACAAGCGTCACAGATGATTTGATGAAGTATTCAGCAGGCTGCTGAGTACTCTGGGCCTCTACTGTATGAGCAGTGAGGACAAGGACACCGTTGTTTCCCCCTCACCGCCGTCAACAACATGCCTCTACTTTACACATGAATTACTCCATTAAAACTCAGCACAGTTAATGAGATAAACAAGTTACTGTGGGAGACATTAGGAGAAACTGTCAGTCAGTTTGTGAACAGGAGTTTCAACGAAACAATTCACAACTATTTTAACACTTGATAACCAGCTGATGGTCTGAGTCATGTTGACAAGGCAACAGGAATTCACATTTAACATTTTCTAGCTGAGAGCCAACTTTAACTTCTTCATCGACATTCATTATCTGGTCTCTTCACAGAGCTCCTACCTCTTCTTCCTGGACGTCATTTCACAGCTGTGACCCCTGTCCCACCACTGAATGAGGAGCTGCGTTTGCCCTGACATGTACAAGTCCACGCTCATCCCCTCACACACCGTTAGCTGGTCAAGAGAAGCTAAATTAAACTTGTTCAGATCTGTTCGTTGCTCTCGTCTGATCAGAGCAAAGATTTTAGTCTTAAGATTGTAATGAAAGAGACTTCTGCTTTTCACTCCTTCATACAGCCCCGATAGGAAAGATGAGGAAAGACAAAGTCTTCCGTCAGTAGTATTGCTGCAGCTTGAATGTCATACCCAAGCTTTTTGATGACGCACTTCTACAGTCCAAAAACACAACATCAGTATTTTTCAAGTGCTGGGTCAGGACCCAGAAGGGTTATATGGAGCTTTTTTCAGGAAGGTCAAAGATGCGTGCACGTGAAGCCTGGAAAACAAACATCTTTGTCTGACTGTTCTGTAGATACTAAAAATAACATTTTGCTTTGTCATGTGCCACCATCCTGCTGCTATTAATGGTTCACATGTATTATGACGATCATTTTCTAAATAACTGTACCTGTCAATCAATAAAACTGCAAAATGTGTCAGAGCAGCATCACTGAGGGCCGGACAGTCAGTGAGTCCCAGGATGACTATCTGAATATATATGAATAGTGTTGAGAACAAGGGCGTCAATGAAGTTTTAAAAAAAAACAACACGTCTCAAAACGGTCGAACAAATGCACAGTAATGGCTATAGTTAAAAAAAACATATATAGTTAGGTGTGAAACGTATACATCTACCTGCTGTTGTTTGTCTTCTTGTACCAGCAGTAGGAATGACAGTTTACCTTGAATAATCATGATTAATCATCATAAATTATTATTATTATTAACTCAACGCTACCTTGTGATTAATTTGACTAAAAATTTGAATCGACCGGCAGCAATTATAATAATAACTGGTTTTGTAATAAAACAGTGTATGAAGTGTCTTTCAAAACTCAGGATCACTCCACAATTCATCAAAGATGAAAAGAACAAATCTTAGTCAAAAGTGAATAAAAACATAACAAAAATATGTCAAAAGAGAATGAAAAAAAACCCCCAAAGCTTAGTCATAAGATACATCAGAATATAAGGTTGAACTGGGACTGAAAGGTACATTGATGTAGGACCGTGTTCAAGAGGTAGAGGGCAGTGCAGCTACACCTCAGACCGACTATTTTAAGAAAACTTAATTAGAATTAGAGTAGTTAATTAGAGTAGTTTCGAGTAGTTATTAGTAGGGTTAGTAATTAGAGTAGTTACAGGTGTGGGTGGTTACAGGGAAACATGCCTTATGTAAGCCTCTTTATTGACAGTTTTATTGAGGCACATTGCACCACCAAGTAAAGCGCCCCCTACCTGTTTTCCTCAAATCGACTGATCAGGTCTGACACTTTGGAGTGTTTCTCCCTGACCCTCTCTTTGCTTGCATGCACTTTTCCTCCCCCTCCTCTTCCTCCACCCCCCTCTTCCATGGTTTGCTTAAGTGACGGTCTCTTGATGTGGCCCAGAGGATTAGATGGCTCCGTCAACGGGCTCTGAAGGTGTGGTGGCTTTGGAGGCACTGGAGAAAAGACCAAAGACTATTTATGAACTCTGATCTGAGGAAGGCTCTCAGTAAACTAGACGTTAAATCCACTCAGCTCCGTTTTACGTTTCTCTCAGATCACGTGTTAATAATTAAACATGTCTAATCAGTCGCCTCTTGTCCTATCAGTGCAGAGAAATCATTAACTCCCTTCGAATAAAGCACACAAAGGTTCAATTCACATGAGGAGATTGGACTTCTCCCTGAGTGTGTGCTCAGCCACGCTACTGCTGATGGATATCATTGATTTTAACTTTCCAAATGGTTTAACAGTTAATAAGTTAATTAAATGATCTTGCATTCATCGATTAACGCAGGATGAAGATTTGTCTGATTCTAGTGTTTACATTTGAGATCTGTGAATCACTGGTCTAAATCAGCCTCTGGTCCTCGGTCTGGAGTCACTTCTGTTTACCACTACTCATCTGCACACCTTCTGGTTTGGACTGCAGCTGACGCCTGTGGCCAGAAGCTCTTCCATTGACGACGGCTCTGTTCTTGTTGGTCCCACCAGCCGCTCGATTCAGACACTCCTGCACACTGGGAGAGTTACCTCGGTCACACACTGGGCTGCTGCCTAGAGCTGATGGACACACACACACACACACACAAACCATCATTGATAGTTACAGCTTCTGTATTTATCTCCACATTTAGATGCAATACTGATACAAACCCAATTAAAATACCAATATTTAACAACAGAACAGCTGAGTACACATCAAAGATCTGCTTGTACTACATCATTACTTTTAAATACAATATATAAATATTTGTACTGTAAAAATGTATATATTTTATATGTTGCAACTATAGCATTAATAACTTGTTTTAACTATAATAATATACAATATATATATATAGACAATATATGTGATAAATAACACATGTAAACATGAAGTTGTTATATAACAACTTCATGTTTACATGAAGTAAACATGAAGTTGTTAAATATAATAAAATATAAATATTTTATTATATTTATATATTTTATTATATATAAATATAATAAAATATACATAAAAAAGCATTAAGATTGCTAACCTTAAGGTGGCACTAAAGTGACATAAAAAGGCCAACTTCAGGGAAATGAGACAGAGAGAGAGAGAGAGAGCGAGAGAGAGAGAGAGAGTGTGTATGTGTGAGTTTGTGTGACTATAAGAGAGTTGGAGAGTCACACATCACTTTTGGGCCAAAACAAACAGCATTTCCTCTTTTCATTTTAATTAAGTATCTATGTCTTCTAAATCTGCAGTCGTTTGTTAATGTTTTTCATGTGTGTGTTAGTGTATCATTATCACCATGTTATCACCTCACCTACACATTTTGTATGGGGTCCATTTCTAAATGTAGCCTGTAATCTATGTGTAATTGTAAATTGGTTTAAGTTTGAAAGTTACAAAAATATGTTTACACATAATTGTAAAACTATTAAAATAATCCCATGACAAAGATCTTTTATAAAATATATTGTTTTAAGTATATCAGGTGTTATCTGGACATAATTATCCATCTGAGAAATACGTTAACGTTGTGAAGCTCTCACTCTGACCAGTTGGCCACAGATGGCACTGCAGACACACTCAGACTGCTGCCAGTGTTTACAGTAGCCCAAGTCTGTGACCTTACTGCACACACACGGAGACCAGACACATGTACACACACATACACTTTCAAAATGACCATATAAGGAGCTACGATGCTCTGTCATTATTTTAACAGTCCATTAGTTCCTTTATAGGACAATCACTTTAATGGCTGCATGTCTTAACAATGGGCTCTGATGTGCGGCTTTGTTGGACGGATCGATGCAGCTGCATGTTGGACTCAGACGTGGATCGACACCATGTGTAGCTACAGAGTGGAGGCATGAATTATTCAAACATGCACCGAACATAAAGCTACAATACATCAGACTGGAGCTGTTCCTGAACTATGACACGTCACACAAAAAGAAGTGGTTCATCTTCTGAACCATAATACACAGTATATTGTGACAGACTATAGGGTCTGTCTCTAGTTGTCCAAAAACACCTGAAGCTCAAACACAAGTCAAGAAGAAAAAAGGAGTAAGGTGTTTTAAACTTTTTTAAATTTTTTCCACAAAGTTTACAAAAGGTGTTTTATGACCTTCTTTTGGAAAAAACTTCAGGGATTAGCTAACAACAATAGTGACCTTGTTTGGTTTTTAATGGTCTGTCAGAGTATGATCATCTGATCACACTGTTTTCTATCAAGCTGAACATCAAACATCTACAGGTCTTATAAAAGGGCAGTTACTGATAAACATGAATCGAAGTGAAACAATATAAAGATGACATCAACTGAGATAACATTAGATGGAAATGTGCTATAAAACACCCCCCCCACACTCTCTTTCTCTCTCTAATTTCTACATACACACATGTATATGATGAATATACAGAATATATATACATATGTACGTTTATATATATATATGCAAAAGCTACTGGTGTGTATTTTCCCCACAGTGATCTTTATCTAGCCAACCCTGAGACAACAGGAGAAAGCGAACGACCACAGGATCGTACAGTCACAGCTTCTATATTTATAATGCGACCGTAATTAAAGACAACAGCTTTAGCGATCGTCCGACTGAAAGCGGTCCCATGGGAGGGCAGACATTTTTTTTGGAAAAATGTGGACCCAAAATTGCCAATCAATCCTGAAGGAAGCCTCAGGAATTTCTCCTGATTATGTGCTTGGCTTCCTGTCACAGCCACACTTACAGAGTGCGACAGAAAATATCCAGGAACAAGTCAAAGTCCATACTTTACACATATGGCTAGAAGTGGAGCGCTCCTTCTAAGGCATTAATGGTGTTCCACTGCAGGGGCTCTACTCCCCACAGACCGCCTGTGTGCCCTGAGACTGTTATTAACTGTGTCAAATGGTAATCAATCATGTCTGTGCTCTCAACGTTCACTTTCATACGTATGTTTGTGTGAGACGAAAAAGTATTCCACTCTCTTACGTGCAGCCTGCAGCTTTGGTTTATAAACTCATGTTCGCATCTTTAAGATGCCTTTGTACAGTGTTAAAAAATACAATCAACACCAGATATACAGTACTCTGAGCATTCCTGGTCTGCCTTGGATAAAAACTGAAATTGCCGTTTTCCTCGACCCCTAAAGTAAGAAACTGATAGGTTTGATCCAGAACCTTTAACCTTTGCTCCTGCCACTGTTGCATCATGACAACTGCGCTGTCATGGCAACTGTGCTGTTATCCTCCTAAGCAGAATGAGAGGTAAAGCTTCTGCTTCTTCTATCACAATAATCCCAAAGGTGAGTGCAGGAAATGAGAAATGCTCCTGTCATAGTTGGACATCTTTCACGCTGAACATAAAGATTAACTGTGCAAAAACTGTGCTCGTTTGCAAAAAACAAACAAAAAGAAATTATTCTTTTAAGTTTCTTCCTTTCAAAGACATTGAAATATGTAAAAACGTTTTTGCCTCAGCAGGATCAAGCATATGCGTGTGTTTGTGTGTGAGAGTCAGTGTGTGTGTCTACATACATCTGCACCCATCTGGCTCTGCCACTTCAAAGCAGCAGAGGAATGAGTTTATTTCAAATGGACTGAGACTAAAAGAATGCATCACTTTAACAGGAAAATAAACAGTGTCTGAAAATAGTTAACAATTTCAATAGGGCCTAAAATAGTTTGACTCCAGGCAGAGTGGTTTACTGAGAAGATAAATGAGTAGCCACGCTCCATAATATCCTGAAACCATGCTTCTATATGAGCATGTGGGCTACCACTCATGTCAGGTCTTCTGACCCCATGTCGTCTACTTTCCTCTAAATAAGATCATAGAAAAACTAAAATTAGCCACCATGAAAATGTTGGTATTTCAAAAGCCTGCAATTCTTATTAAATCAACCAGGTTATTGTAATTTTCTCCAAATGTCCCTGGACCCACAGGGAGTTTTCGGATCCTTTGTGGTTGCCAGTGATTACTAGTAGCTATTTCACAATTAAGCACAGTTACGACAGGACACCAAAGGTAGCATATAAATACAAATAAAATAAAACTAATTTTTAATGATTTTGTTATTGTATAATCTCTTATATCAGTCTCTCAGTTTAGTTTTTTAGTTCATATTTTAAAAAAGAGGCCGCCAAAAGGGAGGCCCCAAGTATGAGGTTCCTCTGGGGCTCAAACCTAGAACCCCCTACGTGTAAGGCAGACGTGTAAACAGCCATGATAACCACTACACTATTCCAGAAGAATTTCTGGAATACAGATCTAAAACCTGCCACTACACCACTCCACAGATTAGGCTCCACATTTGGGTAATTCACAGGGTCCACTCAGCCAGAGTGGCTGACCCAGTGACTCTGGGTGAACCATCTTCATGATCGTGGTGTTTCTCCTGCCAGGTAAGTATAACATGCTAACTGCTACCCTCAAGCACTGTCATATTCCATCTGTCGTGTTTGACGAGTCTTGTGCTCCACCCCCTCCTGCAGCAAGTCGAAAACAACCAGGCACACCTGTCTGTGGGTGAGGTGAAGTGTCTCTCCGCCCAGTCAGCAGCTAAAGGCAGGTGACGTGGGGAGTGTCGGCTTCAACCTCAGGCTTCGTTGTCTCAACCTTACCCTTATTCAAATCACTGCACCTTTTTACTCCTTAGTACAGTTAGTAATTACAGTAGTTACAGTGAAATGAATGGAATAGACAAGTGAATTCAAAACCACAAATGTTAAATACTTCTTAAATACTACAATCTTTAGCCGATCACCGAATCAACCTGCTAATGTCTGATCACACGTTTGGCAATTCAGCAGGGCAGTGATCTGCCTGGACCTGTTTACATCAATCACCTGACTGCTAGATAGCCAGACTTAGCCAGTTTTTTTGCATCAAAATCACAGCACGGTCACACTCTCACAAATCCACCAGTAAACTGTTGGTTTAGAGCCTGAAAACCTGTCGGAGCCAATTATCACCATATGGTCTGTTACAGACGGACTATTAAAGAAAAACAGGTGCAACATAAACAGAGAGCCATTCACACAAACGCTGGATTAAAAAAAAAATAAAACAGTTAGAATTCCAGTGACTGCACTCACCCCGGGCTTGAGACACACACTGTCTGTGCAGTTGCTGAGAAGATTTTGCTGTATGTGAGAACACGCGGCATGAGAGTGTGCATGCGTGTTTGTCTATGTGATTAAAGGTATGTGTGTCCGAGAGCAACTTCAGCTTGCATGTTATCTTCGCAGGCAGCAGCCTTTCTGAGAGTCAGTTCAGCAAAGATACAGAGTTGGAACCAGACTCCTCCCATTCTCTCTCTTTCTCTCTCTTCCCCTCTCTCTCTCCCTCTCTCACACAGGACTAATTGATAACATAAAAGAACGAGCAGCCGCAAATCAACAGGGAAATAAAATAAATTCAATTTATGTGGAACCAAATGAGACTGCACATGTTCACCTCATTACATGGAGCAAAGAAACGCAGCCAAGTGCAGAGATTAATGACTGACCAGCACTGCAGTTCCATAAATGTTTTGGATGAATAAAGATTTCATTGACGCATTTAACAAAAGACTTCATACAGTGTTAATAAAAGGAAAGTAGACACTAATCCTGCTAACTGGTAACAGATGTTTCTCTGACTCTATCCTGTAGGTGGTGCTATAAATGCCCTTTTAGTGATCAAAGACAGACTAGTGCATTGCTGCCTGATTCCCTAAACTTCCCTAATTTTTATACTAGCAACAGAAATGGAGGTCAGTGATTGCCCACCAAATATAAGAAACGACCCAAACCCCCAACATTCACTATAAGACCTATTACAAATATAAATCAAATCATCAAATTATCACAGCACAGCAACGCAACAAAATGTTTTATTTACACAACTAAAATACAATTCTGAGGCTTTACTAAGCTGGAGCAGAATATTTTCTCTACGTTTTTAACGACAGCTCTGCATCATTTAAGTTGGATTACTGCCACTTGCTGGGTTAGTTTCTGTTGGTAAGCATTACCAGCAAGAGAGAGTTTACCCCCTTTATATAAGATGTACTGTTATCATTACTATTATTATTATTATATATTTTATTTATCTATTTTAAAGACATTTCTGCACCCTTGACCTTTAAATCCTTCAGCTAAACACAGTTTTCTCTTCCTGTTCCTCATCACAGCACTAGTTTATATCATGTGTTGCCTGGTGACATTCCTTTGCTGCAAATCAGGAAGGCATTCATTTATGTGAAGAGCAACACAAGTAAAAGAGGAAGCAGAACAGTAAACGTGTGCTGGTAAAGTGAGACAACTGTAGCAGAACGCCTCAGAATCTCTGAAATATGTCAACAACAAAATAATTAACATCAAATAATTTAGCTAAAAATCACATAACCTGTTCATCAAATAGATTTAAAAAACAACGTGACACAAAAGGCCCAAAAGATTCCAGAGGCAACTCATAATAAACATGAGTGCCTTGGAAATAAATTCAGCCTTACCATCTTTGGAAGAAACCATGCTTAGCTGGCAGCAAGCACAGCAGGCATCGTTAGGAATACAGAGTTGTCAGCAGTCTCAGGTAATTATTAAGAAATCCTCAAGGCAAAAAAGAAGGTAAGAACTCAGCTTCCAGCCTAAAGCCTCAAACTATTTTCACTCCTTTTCAGCTGCACAACTATCTACAAAGAAACACGACCTGAGCGACTGTTGTCAGGTTAAAAGTAAGCTTAAATGTGGATGAGTAAATACATACCTAATACCATGAAGGAACTCATGACGGTCCTCTTTTGAACAAGCTGTATCAGATACAGAATTAGCTAAAGGGAACTGCAACTCATGCTTCAGAGTTTTTCTTATCATTGTGAAACAGCTGATGTGAAATGTAATAATTAAACTATGAACCATAACAGAGCTCATGGAAAGAAAACACCGATGTACGGCCCACAACAGGAAGCTCGGTGGTATTGTCAGTCCTGTGAGGCTGAGATGATGTCAGCGATGTGGACTTGTGTTGTCTTGTGTTGTGTTGTGTACATTTACACACTGCTGTGCAGACACATGCACACTAATCCCTCTCCTATCGTGGTAGTTGCGTTCCAAGACCCACAGCAAAAAGAGAAAATCCACGAAGTAGATTATATATATATTTACGTATATATTTACCCTTTACGAACCTCCCCCACACTGTTATCAACCCTCCCTGGACTGTACTACCCTTTCCACATAACTATATGCCCAGTAGAGTTGGATAATGGTGACTCAGAGCGAAGTCAACGAGAGAGTGGCCGTCAGACAAGGGGAGATGCTACGATCCATGATCCAATCAGCGTGAGGAACAGAAGAGCATGCTAATTAGCCAATAGTACACCGAGTACGCATTGTATTAGCCAATAGTATGCTGTGTACGATCTCGTCTAGGTAAACAAAGCTACCAGCGATAGTTCGTAAATGCAGTTTGTGGGGACGGTGCAATGCTCAGAGCACAGACCTAAGACTAGCACAATTCTGTTCACAACATACAGTGAAGAAGCCGAGAACCTTAACAATCCCTGCAATAAACTGAGAGGTTGACTGAGATCTGCTGTGACTAACAATGTATGATGTCAGCGAGGGAGAAACATGATGATGTAAAAGGAAAAAAAAGAAGAAGACACATAGCTAACAAAGTCAAAAATAGGAATGGGAAATAAAAAACAAACAGTAATCAGCACCAAGGGAAATTGGGAAAAGAAGAGTCCATGCTATGAAAAAAAAGAGAGAAGCAGATAAAAAGTGGAAACTACCAAAAAAGAAAATGTAAAAAAAAACAAAAAACAGGAAGGTACTGGCCATCAGAATCTCGACAAAGATGTGAAGCATTTTCTCAGTTTAACACATTAGTTCTAACAGTGGCTTTAAAAATTAATCAGTCACTGACGAAGCTTTACATCAAAAGAGGTAACACAAGAGGAACAAAACCAGACCGCACTTTCACAGTAACAGTAACAGCACAAACACAGTCGACAAACCACGGCATCTACCTAAGCAATGTACGTGCATGTGATCAGTAATAATTAAACTACAGCAGAGACAATGGCAGTGACACAGAAGAGGTGTGTGTGTCTGTGTGTGTGTGTGTGAGAAAAAATTCCAACCTCTGGAGTGTTCGATTTTCACAGCCACACACGAATCCTCATCAGGATCACTGGCCTGGAAACACGTAGTTTGGCCTCTTCTCTCTGCAACAAAAAAGGAAAGATTTACATTTTATTTTATAGTCACTGCATATCGTCTCGAAGAAGATACTTTGATATGACACAAAAGGTAATAAATTGGGTCTGAGCAGAATACGTGAGGATCTAAGCCTCTACTGTGTCTCCGAATCTCTTCTTTCATAATGATATGATGAATGTAGAGTATAACAAGCCTGAGATATTTATAGCTGCATTATCAAGTATCAACTTTGTGTGTTGGGTTTGTAAAGGAAAAGGATTCACCATTCCCTGTAGACAGGAATCCCAATTAGCCTGTCTGGTTTTCAGAGTATTGTCTATGGGGAGAACAAAAACAGGCACATGAAAGATTAATGAAAAAGAAAGTATGGTTGTAACAGGGATAGGGAGCTCACATGAGTATTGGCTGGTGGAACACACATGCATCTGAGACACAATTAAAAAAAGGCTCCGGTGAATAAACAGAAAAATTGTTGCCCTCACAGTTGTATTTGGAGTGAAGCATCAAAGCGACCGGATGATCTATGCTAATGTTAACATCGGCGCTATACTCAAGAGAAGAGCTGCGCAACAGCACACACGCAAGAAGCGCTGAACTAGTTTGAATCAAGTAGTAAACAAGCAGTGGAAACTATTTTCCTCAACCCTCCAAAAACAGATGCCCTTTCATAATGCCCTATTAAGGAACACAAGATTTTTGACAAAAATATGTTTGACTTCAGTACAGATCAAATTCTCAAATCATTGTATATTTCTTATGAATTGTACTCTCGCATTAGTGGTTCTAAACCGTATGGCTAACATTGTCAAAAATAGAATTTAAGGAGTTAAAGTTAGCTACGTGTAACTAATATTATTCAAAAGATAACAATTAACCAACCCCAAAAATACATCATTTGATAAAACGCGTTGGATTGCATTTTTTTTTTGTCCAACTTTACGGTGCTTTGGTATTGAAATATCTTTAATTCACATTTACAACAAGTTTTTTTTCTCTTTCGAAGAAACAATGAGACAAGGAAGGTAAGTAGAAAGGAAAGCACAATTTATAGTGACCAATTTTATTTTACTACTGCAGCAACGTTGTGCATATCTATTTTCAAACCTCAAGGCATGATGAAAACAGAAATGTTTCATATTGTATTAATGGCATGTGAAAGTGCCACGGATAAGAAGGACAGCATGAGGCCGTGGAGAGGACGTACACCGACAACTGGGACTATATTTGTGTGTGTGTTTTGGGGGTAGAATAGTATACTGGTGCAAGGATTAAAGGAGGGCTTTCTCCACCCACCATCTGGACTCCTCATGACAGGCCTGCCTGCTGTTCACATACTCACACACACACACACACACACACAGTGCAGTTCCCTATCCAGGGTACAAATATAAATATAAGCAGCTTATTGACAGCGTTATGAGGGATTCTGAGAAAACCAACTGACTCTAAACTCTAATCCTCTCCTTCTTGTAGGCACTCGTGACAATCAGATTCACCATGTGTGACCTCCATGACCTCCAAACTGACCTTCCATTTCCTTTATTTATAGGTTTGGAGATGTAAACGAACGAAAGCTTAATGTGAAAGTGAAAGAAATCACAATAGACAATGTTCGGATGTTGGGAACCTGTGGGACACCAACAGTATGACAAGGTCAGCAAATCAACAAGAACTTTGAGTTGACCAACAAAAAATAATGAGGAAATAAGACTTCCTTTCACAAAGAGCCTTTGACTGAAATTTGAACTTAAACCCATAAGTCATAGAGCAATCCCCCCAAAACTCCAGAAAAACTAGTAGTAACTGGGTTTGAACACAGATAATCTGCTTATCATTTAATGTAAAATATCAATTAAAAAAAACATGAGTAACATCTGGTACAAGTCTTCTTACACGACACATGACGTCAGATTTTGTATGAAGAGAAGACAAAATTTTATAGCACAATAATGTCACTAAACACAACCAATTGGTAACTTTCAGAACCAGCGTAGCAGTTCTGTTCTGTTCAGTTCTATGTCTACAACAATAACCTGTTGTAACCTGAGTGTAAGCACTCTCCGTGTCTTACATACAGTCTATGGTAAGGACTGAGGAATAAAGTGTTTTTCCAGTTCACTCTCATTTACAGGTAAATAGACTGCACATGTCAACAAAGGTGAGGACGACACTCTAGAAACGAATGATGCTAATGATGGTTGGCACAGAAAAGCAATTTAAAATGCACCCTGTATTTGTTTCTCCTGACATAACCTTAACATGTGACGGCACGGCATGTCCAACAAAATGTTAGTAATCATCTGGTCCAGTCATAAAATTAAATAAAAAGTCATAATATTAGACACAAGTTACTCTATTTTTTAATGGAATGAACAGATGTGGAAACCCAAACAACAGTGCTTCCTTCAGTCTCTGGTGAAGTCTGTGGAAGGATATACTGTACACTAGGATGACAATAAGAAAAAAGCCTGTTGCGTCCGGGGACCTAGCCACTAATGGGCCACTGTGGGACAGAGCCAACAAGATAGACAAGAGATAAAAACAGCAGCTGAAAGTGTCAGTGGACAGCAGAGCCCGCTGCTGCAGAGTCATCACCAGGTGGAGAGAGACGGCACTCTGGCATCTGTACTTCTCTGAACAATAATATTAAGTTATCAAGACAATTCATTCTGTGCTCGACCAAATGCTCTGCCTATCTTATACCTACAGTTCAAGCTTATAAACCAGGGCTCACCAACTATACTTGTAGGAGGGCCAGAATTTTTTTGTACAGACACCTTGGTGATAAAACACTTAAATAAAATGATCACCTTTTTGTCTAACAAAATGTAAATGAAGTCATAAATGGTGGGGATTACTGACAGTTATTTAAGTCTAGGTTGTTGTTTTTTTATTGCTTTAACAGTGGAGACCACATGATATTTTCTCTTTGATCCAAACAACTGTGGAATGTTTGCACCAGATAGGACGGTTCAGTGGTCCGGATTCGGCCGTGGGCCGTCAGTTGATGATCGATGCAATAAGCTGTACCACAGTGAATTAAAGGGGTGTAGAGTTACAGAAATCTGCTTGGGTTTCATTTACCCATTATCAGCTGGCCTGGTGAGAGATCCCGGTTTAAATGTGCTGATGATGAACCATTACCTGCTGTGTTTCAGCTGATATTGATTCTAGTGTCAATGGATCTTTAAAGTACTTCAGTGGGTCAGGACACATGCACCCACACCTTGGCCTTTATATTAAATGAGCATTTTAACTGTGTATGTTAGCTACCAAATGAAAAAATGTCATACAAAAAATAAAACATTCACATCAATTTCTAATATTTTTTCATATAAATATGGACTACAGATTAAACCATCTAATGCATTACTGTAAGTTGAAAATTCATATTATTGTATAGTAACAATGTAACGAATATCGTAGGCTGATGACATGGAATCACGGCTGCTGTTAACTGTGTTCATGCGTCTTTCACCATATGCCTAACAAGTAATTTATTATTCACTCAATTGACATGTGCATTTTTAGCATGTTTTTAAGGCGACGACTCCCACAGCGCTGTGTGCATGTGGCTTCTGGTGCTGAAACAAAACGTTCTATAAAGCAACCTTCTGGTTTAGCAGCAAAGCTTCTCACAGAAACCAAAACAGACCACATGTGTACACCGATGCTGGCCATGAAAGGAGAAGAAAACATCTTCACAGTACCTGAGCGAAAGTCTCTGCGAGACAACTGGGTTTTTACAATCCTGTTTGCCACGCGATTCTTATCCATCTCAAATATCCCCAAAGCTCTGCATCGATAAGGAAATCACAAACCCGTCTTCAGACACGACACTTCCTGTCGTCTTGTTACTCCATGTCTGTATTTACTCTACAACTCTTGTCGCACCTGCCCATTTACTGTACAAACTGGTTTCTGGTTTCCTAGAAACCAGAGTCAGAGGCGAGGGAGGGAGCAGCAGCGGGGGATGAGGGAGAAAACGAACATTCATGTCACCAATCAAGGACTAAGTCACTCTAAAGTGGCAGGAATTGAGGGGAATGAAAACAGTGTGGATACTGCTGAGTATAGGTAAAGAAGGAAAGTGGAAACAAAAGGACAAATACCATCTGGAACATTTGAACATTAAACCACAAAATGAATCAAATCTGTTAGGTTAAAATCCCAGCTCTATAGTATACACCCAGTCTGGGCACTGTGAGAATGCAGCAAAAATAAACTCATAGAGGCAGATCTGATAATAAAATGATGAAAAAAAAAGTAATACATTTTTCACCCTTGAGGACAAAAAGCAAAATAACCTAATTTGCATTGCTGCTAGTGATAACCGCTATTCAAATGTCTCATAAATAATGTAAAAGGTGAAGAGTATTTATACGCCGGGTCACACCCTTTAATCACATGTCTGATAATGTGGGCTTTTCATGCTTGACACAAAAGAGATTGGCTACTGAACGAGTCCAGATGTGACTGTCTCTGTCCTCCTCCCCTTTGTCCGTCAATAACGGACAATTACCAAAGACTTATGGTTGTCCGCCACCAACATAATAGAGTGGAAATTAAACGTCTTTGTGCTGTGAATGAAACCAGATGAGACTCCCTGACCCTGGTTCAGGGATCTAACACGTACATGCAGTCCTAACAGTCTTTTAGTTCAGATATTAGTGACTCTTTAGATGTTTTTGACAATCTGACACATTTCATCTTGTTATCGACTCCTCGTCTCTATTCATGTTGAAGCTCGTGTATTTTTAGCTTGTTTTTGTTTCTACTATTTGACATTGGACATGTGGAAACAGTTATTTACACAGTAGAGCTAAAGCTGTCAAAGCAGAGCAGACATCTGAGGATCGTAAAAACACTCTTAGAGTTGACACAAAGTTCTGAGGGATTTTGAGGAAATCTGCTTCTCCCCGAAAACCAACTCTTCGACGAAAGCTTTCATCCTTTTTCAACATTTCACCACAACAAATCAAACACGACTTGACAACGGTTGCTG